AGACCACCCATATGTTTTGTACACAGTTGTCAATCGGGGACCCTATGTGAATTGGGGACCTTATTGTCCTCTATTGTTCAGGGTCCCCAATTGAATGCAGAAACAAACTCACCCCCCCCAAACAACACATGACCTTTACCCTTTGTTCTGCCATGGTGCATACAGATTTCCCACTGAGTGAAGGAGTTTTGAGTTGTCCTCTTTGGGGGGAGCCCAAAAATTCGTCTCGGTAAATACATGTATACAGATTTACATGTATTTCTTTAGACTGCCACACTGCCCTGACGTTTACATGTACTCACTAAGTAAACATGTTATTTCATAAGCGTCCGTCCCACTACCTAAGAACATGCAAGATGTAGACAAAGTCTGGTTGATTTCAGGTGAACCCTCCTGGGAGTCAGCTACGGTATTAGAGGCATAGAAGTTAGTAGTTGTACTCAGATCTAATGTAGTGGGTAACCATGGAGACTCAACCTATTAAGGGGCAACATATTCAGTACAGATTTTGGAAGCAGTGGCGTACTCGGGGGGGGGTCAGGGGCTTCTTCTTCCGATTGATAAACAAGAACTTCTTTTCAGAAAATTGATAAGCATATTAGCCGATCGACCCGCCCAGTTATTTTTGTACGTGTATCACTTATGTGTATGGCAACAGTACGTTTCCGTAATTTAATACAGACAGAAATCATCACTGAAAATACATCCCTCGTATTTTCCGAGTCATTTCCCCACTTAGGGCGCCCCGCCCCATTTACGAATGCCGAGCACCCCCTGGTTTATAAATGTCAGCATAAATGATCCACCTATGCATTATTTCACTGGTCTATTTATCTTACTCTATAGGGCGAAATATCGGCGGTTTTGTTCTTCTCTTCAGTGTTTAAATGCAGTATACCGCCATCTGTCGAATGTACTTGCAAAAAGGCTTCCTTTTTTTCCCTGTTCGCCATCGATGCTTCGTCGTGGACTATTCTCATTGGCTGATGATTATCGAGCCAAGAGCAGTTCTATCGTGGACATGTCACCAAGCGTGCATGACTGATTAAATCTGCCTTTGAAAGGTGAAACAAATTTGTGAGGAATTTCTCCCATTACAATTGGAAATGGAATTACACAGTGTATGGGAAACTGGGATCGCTGTTCAGTTAATTTGATTAATACACTGAATGCAATAGAAATGAATCACATAAAAAAAGTACTTTTACGTTCTACAACACCATGATTTATATAGGAACCCCCAAGAAAAACGAACAGATATAGATGGCCTCAACCCATCTCAATCCATCCCATACCAAAATAGACCGTCAAAAAGTCCGTGAATGTAGCCACTGAACCTGCAAAAAAGACCTCCAAAATACAACCACACTAGAAAACCACACCGATTCGCAAGGACGGATAAGTTATGTACAGTAAGGTAGGCCTCACTGAAAAATTGCCTGGGTTAAATTTTAGCCCAAGCATGGTTGAAAACTGCAACTAATCAAATATGGGCTGTGTTAACCCGATTTGGGGATGAGAATTACCTTGTTTCATTTTTCACCTACAAAATAAGTAGATATTAACCTTGTTTATTTAAAACAAACAGAAATTAATTTCAATTACCCAAATTGGGTTAAAACAACCTAAACTAGGCCTATTGGGTAGTCTCAGTTTTCACCCTCGCTTGGGTTAAAAATTATCCAAGGCAATTTTTCAGTGCTTACTTTGCCCCATAGGCGCTAGGACCTATTTCTTGTGCTGGAAACCGCCGTACGTGAGCTTAATGTGCAAGTTTGTTTGGATCGGCTGTGAAATTGGAAATTTAAAGAGAAAATTCGTAATGGTATTTTTTTATTGTACGTTGTGGTATTATCGTAGGCCTTAAAATTCTTCGTGGGCTCCAGCATTTTTCGTAGGCACTAGACGTAGTGCCTTCCAGCCCTGCCGATTCGAAATCACACTGTTGCAAAGTTAGTGTGTAATCGATTTATACACGTATATATTGTATTCTGAGAATGACTGCGGAAAGCAACAGATAGTTTGCCTGTCCTCAGCCAAGGTACAACCCACTTGCATTCTGGAAATGAATGGATTATTTGTTACCAAATCCCCATAAAAATGTTTGGTTAACGCTTTAAATTATTAACACATGCAAGTTGATTTCCCATGCAAAATGTGTCAACACCAATGTGCAAGACAATAAACCTTTTTCTCAAATATATGCCCGATGTACATGTGTTTCTCACGTAATGCAACCAGCTCTTTGGTTGTAGTTACTAGTTATGCTGGACCAGATCAATTATTGTATCTTGTCAATGCTGGCTCCGTGCATAAGCCCAATATTCAGTGTCAGTTTGCACCGCAGATGTGTTGGTTTGGTTTGTTCGGTTTGACATCACCCCCTTGCTTGATTTCTGATTATGATAAAAATCAACTCCCGATCCCTAAGAATTATTACAGATTTTAATGTCACATTTTCATGCAGCTCTTGCGTGGATATGTGGCTGTGCGACAGTCTTTTATTTAAAAAGGAACTCCGTCATAAATGTGGGGTTTAAATCCACAGAGTCACACAACAGAAAAAAGAGCTTTTGATTTTGTTTTGGCCTCTCTTGACTGAATTATGCTTTTTCAGCCAACAAATTGAAAGCATCTGAAATATTTAAGTCAGTATACGTGGTGGCCGCTGGTTTTGTTGTGTCTTTAATTTCTGTAATAACTTTCGGCCTTGATGAGTGAGCCAGCAGTGTATACGCGTTGCCATGACGATGGCAGGATGGATGTTAGGCAACAGGTTTTGTCCTGGCTAGTCTGATTGCTGGTGTTTTTGGACTTTTACTATTGCTCAAAGCGGGAGCGAATCCTGATGAAATATTGATTCCTTAAAAGCTATTGGGCATTGTCAGCAACACGGGCCTTGGTGCCTCCCAGATGCAGAAGCCACAGTTAATGTGCTTTCGGTGCCCCCTCCCCCAAATGGTGTGCACATATGCCATCGAGTTTTCAATTTTTTGCATTGCTAACAGCAGTCCATTGTTGCGTCCGTGTATGGTTGGGTAAGCAGGGGATGGACATGATACATGTACAGGGTAGGCTTGCATTCCCTCTGGGGAGGTCAACTCTAACCTTGGATGTTGACAGGCACGATTTTGCATCAGCTTGGAAGAAACGGGTTTCCATGGCGACCGATGCCATGCGATTTCATTGCCGTTGCATTGGGCACACTTATTAACTGACGATAAATAGTTCAGGACAGTGCTGGTGCAATTAGGCCTAATCATCTTCTTGCGCCATGCTTGCGCAGAATTTATGGGTGGCAAAATGGACGATTCCCAGGAAGATCACAATATGTGGCCCCATAGCATTGATACAAATTACAGCTTGTAATAAAAAAAAAACAACCCTGGCTAACAATCCCCAAGCCTCCAACTAGTGAAGGATTGAAGTCTGTTAGCGTTAACTTAAAACAGCGTTTAAATGAAAACATTACGATGTCAGTCTCATAAAAAGAAATCCTAAATGCATTCAATGAAAAAGAGTGACCCCGAAAACGTGAAGCAGACAAAACAAACAGCTTCATTTTTCCTTCCATATTCCCCCCCCCCCATTTTTTTAAAGGTAAAGTGTTCCAGCTACTCTTAGATTGGTGACAAAGATACGTCTTCGTTTTTCCCCTAAAAGAGCCGGGGCGGATCTGCCCAGCCCTCCCCAGACATTTTCTCCTACATCGTCGCATTGCATTGTTTCCCCGCACCAAGCCGTCTGGGGCATTTTGACACTGGATGTATTTTCTCGCAAAGCCTCCATTTTTAAGACAGGTCAGCGACAACATATTGGTGAGCTCACTGCACGAGGGCTGTTTGAGACCATGAATTTCAGATGAGCTTATTAATAACTAAGTCAGATTCAATTGAATCTTCACAGAATGTACTCACAACCAGTGTCTTTACCTTCATGCATGCTAAGTTTCCAACGATCTGGCATGGGAAAAACCTACAGGGTTCTTTATTCAACCCTCAACCGCTTTTTTAATTTCATATCCCCGTACCCTAGTACTATTAAAACAAAACAAGTTTAAATTAACATTTGACAGTTATGCAATTCATTTTGAACATTCTCGAGTTGCACTGTGGAAAGGCTTGCGGTAGCACGGTGCTAAGGAATTTATCTCTTATGAGTATGTGTGGCACATATTCATAAATATATATTCCGTCGTACGGTGCTACCACAAGCTTTTCTACCTATTGCTATCTTTCACCATGAATAACCTGAAATTCCATTCTCGAGTTGGGCAAATATCCGTTATCAGTCGGGTACTCAAACCCTGGCATTTCCATCTTTTTTAATTTGTTTTATTCTATTTTACTTATTTATTTTGTTGCAAATTGGAAACTAAAAGATACGTTTGTTTTGATGAAGGAAGATCTTTCAGAATTGTAAATCACAGGAATGAAGACATAACCAAATAGAATACACATTTATTGACTGTCATACTTCACGAGGGGTATTCGTATATGCCAACTGGTATAGCTGTGGTGATTTCGACGAAACATGGGCTACTTTTTGTGTATCCTTCCGCTAAAGAAATAGCCTAGTGACGAGAACAGCGCGATCGTTCACCGATAAAGTAGGAAGGAAGCGATTGATTCATGCCCGTTCAAATAGTATTAAACTATGAAATCTTGAATTCCACCAAATACCAAGAATGACAAATGCCATTTTCATTTCTATAGAGTTTTTGCGGGGACTCTTTGGTAGTGATTTGTTTTTTGGTTTTTAATTATATAGGCGTTAGTTAGGTTTTTTTTTATTATTGACAGTGACATAAGCACATTGTGTGCATGCAAGTCTGGCGTTTTTCTCGTCGATAATTACAAGACAAACGATAACATTTGTTCTTTAAAATCAGAAATCGTGGCATATATTTTGTGGGCACAGTATAAAAATAATCAAAGTAAGCTCTATACACTCTAGAAACTGTATTGCTGTCCATTTTAACATGTGTTAGCCAAGTATTACGTGTCAAATTCCTGCTAAGCACTATCCATCAGTACTGCAAACGTGCTTAGTATTTAGAGATGTTTACAACCTCATAAAAAGAACGTGTGTAGACGACCAATTTATAAACAGTTTTTACCAATGAGAAGCATGAGGCTAAGCAGTAATTTGTATGCATTTCCAAATTTAATATATGTTCATCGTGCTGCATTTTACCCCGTATAATTATTTCCCCTGTCCCTGTTGTGACATCAATGGAGAAGTTGGAGGAAACATGTTTTTGGATAATCTCGTTTTGGGGTCCAGTTTGTTGCTCTCTTTTTATTAGGTGCCAAATCGTTGTGTTGCTAACCTTTACACCAAGCAGGCGCTCTGCCATTGTAAATGCAACTTTAGTAATAATGACATGGCGTTGCCATAGTGATCAGTGCCGCGCTACGAAGGAAGCGATCAATGTCGGTAATCTTCGGAGCGTTAAGCCGTAACATATACGACATTGTCAACCTCTTGATGTACAAGGACTGGGGAAAAATTATAATATTTTTTAAACAGAAATCGTCCTCAAGTTTTAAGTCTGAATTTGCGTTCGGTTCACTACGCAGTTTTACCTCTGAATTGCACACGACATATCACAAAAATAGATACACGTAATATTGTCAAAGGTTTTTGTTTAGTTTTGTCTCGTTTGTTTGATATTGCTCTTTTGTTTTTGTGTTTTGCTTTCGGGGTTTTTATTATTATTACTGTTATTTTATTTTGTTTTCTTGGTTTGGTTAGTTAGATTTTTTTAAGTGAGCGTGGTGTTTTGTGTTTAGATGCAAGTATTGTCTACCACAAATCATGCAATGAAGTGTTACGTCATGTAGTTTTGCGTATTCATCTGAATGTTTTACCTTTCATTTTTGGCTCTCCTAACTCGGCCAAGCCTGACCCTCATTTCACTTGGTTTCCGTGCCAAACGAACCCATATTCAGAAGCATGCAAACCAAGCAAACCGCAAAGCAAACCCACAGACAAAACAAAACAAGCTAACAAGATTCGTTCAAATCGACGCTTCGTGTTGCATGCAGTTCACATTGGTTTAGCTAATTTGTAAATTGTGTTGAAATTTGCACAGCGCACAACATCCGTACACTACCGGCAGCCTGTTGATTCTCTGTACCAGAGAGGCGAATATCCCGCCTTTTACCTTTTCACCGCAAGGCGCTGATATTCATCCGCGGACTGGAGGTACATCAGTCATTTTAGCCTTTTCAACGATGAGTATACGAGCGGTCGGCTTCAGGAGTAGCTCTCAACGACGCAACAGTGGTTAGGCCAGGAACATTTTAGAAGGATTTGATCTTAGGGTTTGTTTTTGGTTTGAAGATTTTTTTCTTCCCGGTGTTTGGGGGGAAAAAAATTCGGTTAGTCCGCTTGTGCGTGTCGAATAGAGATTTGGGGTGTTCAGTGTAGCTCAATCTGTCGCCATGTCGAAGTATCGTCGTTTCGTGGGATTTTTATGGCTGGCAGTTTGCGCATTGGTGAGTATTCGTGGCATCATCCCTCGTTTTAACAACTTTTTGCTCTGTTAGAATGCTGATTCTGCCATATAATGTATTTTGCACACTGTTTTATTCAAATAATACCAAAATGACATTGCATGGTGGTCAGTTGACTCTTCAAATCATTCAACTTCCCAGTCTCTCCGTATTGAAAGTTGCAACTATCACGATATCCCTTGTATTTGTTCATTGTATTTGTAACTGCACTGTAAAATCAAATACACGATTTATATTCGCGAAAATTACCCCACACGTTATTTTTATGACGTCTTGCAGACGATTTGTATGAGACAAATTCCTGGATTAGTTTAATTGATTGAAATCGTAATGTGTTACATTTGATTGTGAGTTGGCTGTGCCGGTTGTAAAGATGAACGGGAGAAATGTGCTGCATTTGTGTTTTTGGTGAATATGTAATCATTCAGCCAATATTCCATGAGAATTTTGCATGCACATTCGTGTGCTAACGTGCTTTAATACAAACATGGCAAGCCATGGACGCATTAGTCCGAACGCTGTAAAAGAGTCAACTGACACAGGAAACGATGCACTATAACCTCGTCTTCACTCGCTTTCTTAATGCACACTTTCCGCCCCTTGCGCTCTCCACCTCCTCCCCAATAGTCCACTCAACCTATTTTTGCCACTTATTTTCTAATGTAATCGGTACACCTCATAGCGGCGGCTAATCCTCTGCTCTCGTCAACTTGATCGCCCCAGTTCAAATTGGGTTTGCCTGTTAACAGAATACCTCGTATCAGACGCCAACAAAACATTCCGAACACAATTTATCGACAATGTAAACCTAGAGTGTACTTGACCCATTATGAGTCTAATTAGCTGGAGACGGGCCGATATTGGGTGAGCGATCGATTTATGCAGGACGAGTTTCCGTATTAATCATTACGCTACACATGTCGGCATCGCATATACCTTAAAGGGTCTTATTATGCAATGCAGAATGTTTAGGCCTACAGTTCATTCAGAAATGAACTCCCTTCTGTCAGTTTTCCTTGTTTTTAATCTTCGTCTTCCCTGTTTTTAGGGGAGTTCAGGTGGCCCCTTGGGGTGTAAGCTAAGTAAAAGTTACATATTCACGAACAAAGACAATTACGTTATAATTAATATAGCTTCTGCGTCATCGTAGAAAATTGTCTGAATTGGCGGGTTTTTACAGTGAGAAAGGTTTTTATTAAAGTTATGTTGGAAATGCAGTGCATAACAATCGGTCATATTATGAGCATGAACAAATTTGGTTTCAGTGTGAGCCATGGTGAGATTCACAACTTTTGAAGGAATTTCAATGATCGACAGCTCAGAAGAGTGGATATTCTCATACATTTCATGCATGGAACCTTCCGCCAATGATTGGCTTGTCTTTAAACCAATAACATTGTTTATGACCCTTTGTTCCATCGGATCAGGTATAGTCTTCAAAGAGAATTTGGCCATTCGTTTCTACTGCCGTTTCGCTCGTTATTTATTTTTTTTTTAAATACAAACGGTTCAGTATGCCTGTCGGAGGGGAAAGGTCGCGTGCTCTTCCAATTATTGTAAGTGTTGGAATCGACTGGTTGCAGCTGCGAGAAGCGTAGACGTGGGTTGCGACTGCAACCGCTTGCCAGTGGCTCTTGCTCGCGTAGGCGTTTGTTCTAATCTAGCCGCAGCCACTATTTGGACACCGACATGGTTGAAGAACCAATGCCAATTATTGCCCAAATAAGCCAAAGCGTCGCTGTTGTTTTCAAAACCCTGCGGACATTTCCATATAATTATTTTTTATTTAGTAGTGGTGTTTCTCTGGGGTAATATGAATATTGGGCAAAATTGTAGGAAAGGCCATAGAGCTATATATTGGCTTATCACTCTGGGAAAAAAAATAATTTATCTCGTAGCAGGGAGGAGACGAAACAACTCCTTCCTGGGTATTTAGCGCATTTTTCCCTTTTTGGCCCAGTTCCAAAAACCCAATTTCTACCATAACCGCGAGACGATTTTTTATTTCGCTTAACAATTACTTTTCACTATTTTGCGCAGCAGGTGGGGTCGACTGGCAATGTATGACTAGGTTCTGTCTCCGATTGTGTGGTGCATTTCAAAGATCGCAAACTTCAAACCAAATCCTCACAGGATCAATTGAGTGGGAATCCAATCGAGATGTTTAATTATTGATGCATTTGCCATTAATTTCTTTTTGTCAAGTCTTCGGCGCACGGTAGCGAATGAATTCAGATTGCCTCAGGCAGAATACTGCAGGTTCAGCACTGTTGCTGTTTGTTTATTTCAAAAGGAGTATACGGACGGTTAAGGACGGGGATATCTCCATCCTGAACCCACTATGGACAAATCAGGTCCCGTGATCATCTTGTCACTAGAAAGGTTCTGTATATTGTTGCAGGCATTTTTGCTCCTTTATGAGCCTTGCAAGCCCCAAGAACGCCATATCAGCAGAATGCGTAATGTAAGTTTTGTTGAGCACTCATCGGGTATTGAATTGCGCGTGACGAGTACATACTGAATATTCATGCACATGTTTGATCAGAAAAGCAGCTTTGTACGTCTCTAATCACCCATGTCAACTACAGTCGCTTCGAACCAAATTATAGGCCTAAGCAAATTTTGAATTGAATACGACAAAAGTTCGATGTGTGGAACAATTTGGAGCGACCAGGCGTGCCAGCGGGCGAAAGGTTGACACTTGAAGACGTTCAGAACGACAACAGAGTGACTTGGTTTCAGACGTCACTCCGAACCCATTGGGATGCCGAACCCATTGGGATGTATGTATTAAGTTTGTCTGAAACCAAAACTTAATTGGGTCGACCGGAGTCGCTCTTTATTCCATTTGGTTCGGCGCGACTCTAGAACGCCTGTCTAAAACGGAGGTAACTGTTGCCTATTCCATAACAAACTTTTGTGGAAGGTACTTGCCAACTTTCCCCATTTGGAGCATTACTGATAAAAATTGTTCATTCAAATATCCCCTGTATGAATTATATTTTAAAAATACAGGAAGCCTACAAATAAATCGAGAAGCGGAGCCATACATGTAGTTTTCAAGGCCTGAAGGCTAATGGATTTGCTTGGATCAATTTGATTGCTCCAGTCACCATACAAATTACACAAGAATATTAAACTAATTATATACAAACGTAAATTTTATAAAAAGTCTGAACTACAGTCATCGGACACCAATTGAATAACAGAATTACTAACTGAGCAACAGAATTGCCTGAGGCTGAAAACGCCACGAAGGGGAGTTTGTGCATACGTTTATGAGGAGCAGCGTCGATAAAAGCCATGGTTTTTTTTTTCAGCAATGCGCTCCTTTCCAGATTTTGTGAGCAAAGTCGCATCTGAAAGGGGCTATGGGGCACCACCTCCCCCTGGACTAAATTATAGAAGGGCAAAAACTCTCATGCTGGTCCACCTTAGTGAGAGTTTTACATGAGCCTGAAGTAGTTCAGCCCCAAGTTTTCCCCTCCAGAAAATGAGGGTCCCCAAGTTTCCCCCTGCAAAATGCACTTGTGAGGCAAAGGCGGACATGTTTTTTTCACGTGCCGCGTGCCGATTATGTGTTTAGAATTAGGTTTACGTTGGTTTGGCTTGCTTATTTATTCGCAATTGCTTGTTTTGCGTTTTATTCAGATTTATGTGCTTGCGCGTGCAAAATTTTAGATTTATTACCGAAACGGTCCATTAATATAGAACACTGTTTGCAGGCTCCCATTGGATCACCGCTGAAGTTGCGCGTTAACTTCCGGTTCCATGGTCCCATGTGACGGCGATCATTGTATGTAACGTTATGGGCAGTGTATGTACAGGGGGCATGGTTTAAACTAAAGTGACGTCCCACTTATTATTTAAACTGGATAGACTATCCGGTTCGTAAGGTTGCACTACGCCAAATAAAGTCAGTACTCTGAAAAATGTAATTGCCGAGCTTTCGGTAACTGAGTACCTTCCTCAGGGCAAGCAGATTCAGTTTAGTTCATTTCTGAAATGAATCTGCTTGCCCTGACGAAGATACTCAGTTACCGAAAGCTCGGCAATTACATGTTTTAGAGCACTAATTTTATATTATATTCTTGTCAATAATCTAATCACAGTGCCTTTCCATTATTGCACTTCACCAAATACGCGCCAATAGGAAACAGTGCAAAATCAGACCGAAATAGCGCCGCCTGTTGACTCTCGTGAAGAGGTTGGCCTCCGTTTTTTTTCCACTGGAAATTAATTCAAGATTATGGCCAAAAGACCACTTTTCGTTTCAATTTTATGGGGGTTAGCCACGAACAATTTTTAATTAATTCGCCTTTTCCCGAAGATACTCCCAAAATAGTAGTAAAACTATGCGCACAGCCCTGAATGTAGCCGCCCGCCTCTTATCCAAAATAGTCCCTTACTCATTGGGGCTTTTTGTGAAAGAAATAACCCGAACCGGAAATCATCAGTCCCAAATTCAGGATTTACACTGTTTGTCTATTAATCCCTCCTGGTTATGGCATGTCTTATTGTAAAGACCCCGTAGAATTACAAAAATTATTAATGAGTTCGCGCACCCTTTAGTGACGTCGTCTCAAGGGCAGACGCGCTACGATTTACAGGCTCCCATTGGACGATCGCTGAAGTTGTGCGTTAACTTCCGGTTCCATGGTTCCGAGTTAACAAGGGTCAATTCAACTTCATAATGTGCAGTGCATGTGCAGTGGGCGTGGTTTAAACTGAAGTGACGGCACATTTACGAACTGGATAATGGCCCTTTCCATTATGTACTTTTTTTGGTGCGTTGTTTGTGTAGGCTACACGATGCGTTCGTGCGTTTCACTTTCACGGACACAAAATCGACGACATTAACATAACACACGTGTGTGTAGCGTTCGGTTGTCAAAATCGCCTGCAAATTTGGCGCAAGTGTCAACACGCATATGGAAAGGCGCCTCAACGATCAGCGACTTCTCATGAAAGCAATGACCTTCCACGCAATGTTTCCAGCGCAGTAGATCGATTTTTGACTATCCATAATTATGAACCGACTTTGTTTTGAAAAGGATAATCGATGGGCTTATTTCAGCATTATTCCGCTGTTAGGCACACCATGAAATAAGCAATATACACATTCGTCGTGGCTATAGTGTGCACGTTCTCGGTTCGCCGGTAGACCGAAAGAAGTGGGGCCTTACACGCACGCTTACTCCTTAATATGCTACACGCGAAAATGGTTCAGGTCACGACAGCTGTATCCTGATGGTTGTTCATGGATTTACTTGGAGTGCACTTTCTTTTGAGAACTTAGAGTTTGCCTTGCCGTAAAGGTTTTCGATATCGATCTCGCACTGAATTCAAGAACACTGTGATGTGATAGAATAAAAGCTGCTTCAATTTTTTTTATATATCACGATTCCTATCATACGCGTATTAGTCATAAAATTGTGTTGTCGCTAATTTACTGCTGTGCTTTATACTTTCAAAGGAAGTAAAGTAAGGAAGCGTCTCTGAGCGACAAGTTTGAAATTCCAATAGGCCATGATGTTTGCTCCGTGATATCTTACGGACTTGAGCTGTGAAAAAGAGTGAAAAGACCCTCTTAGGGATATCCAAAATACTTTTGAACAAAGCAGAAGGAGCAAACATGCGTTGAAATCACACGAAGCCGTGACAGGAATAGTCCCTTTTAAGATTTCCAACTGTTCTACAAGTTACAAGAATGTTTTAACACTGTTGAACCACGACTGTTGACCCAGCGCACGATAGGGGCGTATCCAGCGGACTTCCCCGCCCCCAACATGTTACCATGGCCTTGTTTTTCAGGAGTTGAAAGTGCCAGCATTTTAGAAATGGTACCACCAACTTTCTTTGAGGTGGGATGAGGATAAGAAATGAAAATAAATTGCACTTCAAGAATAGGTTTTGGAAAAAAATCCCAATTTGCTCTGCTTCCCATCCCGAAACTCAAGACGTGGATACGCGTACGCCATTCGTGCCGCTGTGAATTAAAACTTTTGCAAATGGCGTGTTCCCCGTGCGCGTCTGCGGCTCGATTATCAGAAATCAGGTAGACATCAAGACGAAGATAATTGGGATTTGCCACGATGGAAAGAAATTCCTTTCAGAGATGATTCTTGTCGATGCCGAAAACCCGTCCATTAAATTTGATAACACTTCGGAGGAGTTTCCACTGACGCTAAACTTTGCGAAACATTACACGTACGTGGTGTAACTCTAGGGTGACTATATTTCAAAAGGGCACTGAAAGAGAACTGACTGTTGCTTGTACATAGTCTGTGGTTTTATACACAAATGGGGAACGGACACCCAAGGGGCCTTCCGCCTGGGGTCACATGCCCACCCCCATTTACACCACTGATTATCCCGTTTTATTAATTAACGTCCGTTGAAAAATCTACACATAAAACCCCTGCTGTTCGAATAAAAAATATGCTTTCTTGCATTTTTCAGGCATGTGATGCCCGTTCCTACAACGAATCCGAACTCGAGGAATTGTATGAAAGTAAGTCCGTACTTTTCTCTTCACAGTGAAACAGTGCATTCTGTTTTTAAGGCGGTTGGGTAAGATCTTTAAGCAATATCTTCTTTTTAACATTTTAACAGTGTGATTAAACATCAGTGCAGATTTCTGGTGTGGAATAGATTGCTTGCATAAAACTTTGAATGAAATATGGTTCTTAAATTGCCTGTTCAGTTTTTAAAACTGCATTTTGTTTTGATGAAAAAAATCATTTGTTTGAAAAAGATGCTCATTCCTTGTTTATTTACATATTCATTCTGCCATTTAGATAATAAACTGTCACTTTCGATTTTTAAAAATGAAAGTTTACATTAAGGTACAAAAATTACATTCCTTTTTTTCAAATGTGCATTAAGAATCATTTTATTCTTATTTCTGATTCACTTTACAACAAAAATGTCTGCTGTTTGACACACGTCCAGTGCATGATTTCTTACGACGGTAGGCCCAAAAAAAGATTACTTGAAGAACATAATGCCCCAGAAACTAAAGAGAAAGAAATGTATATTTTATGAGAGGGTTTGTTTCCAATGTTTGCTATGCATATGGGCACCCGGAAGAGTGCGGGGGCAGAGCAAGGGGTTACTTGCCACCTGGAAATATGGGGAAGTTAAAAAAAGTGAAAGAAACAACAAAGAAAGGTATAAAGGGGATGAAAGCCAACAATTTGATCAAAAACACCAGTTCCGCAATCAATGATTTGTTAATGAATGCATTGCTCCCCCCTGTAGTTTACTCATCTGTTACAATATTTACCACATCATGGTCATTAATTCGAAGCTAAGTGCTTCGTTTCTTCATCCAGCCTAATGACACTGAGATATGAAAGATGCAAATGACTGCTAAAATGGGGCAGCAAGAAATGGCAGACCCTTTCCCACCCCTTTCAACTGTGAAATCCACACTAAATTAATGTTGAAGTTGTTGTTACAATGCATTGTGTAGGATTTGACCCTATTCTTCACTTCAGGTAGGCATCAAGAGGCACCCCCCAGACACTAATGAAATGGGTCTGACACCCCCCCTGACATTAATGAAATGTGAGGGGCCTGACACACACACACCGAGAAATTCCTAGATCTACCCCTGCTTTTGTCAGTTTCGTATGCCAGTATTGTAGCCTCCCAATAAGTAATATGGGTATACATCCTCATGGACAGTGTCTACCATTTTAATGAAGCATGTATAATTTATCTGAAATGTGGCAAGATATGAATTCAAAATACAGGCCCTCTAGAGGGAAAGGCAGTACTGGAACAGTTGCGGAATCTCGGTCAGTAGGCCTATTAACTTTTGGTTGAGGCTTATTTTTCCGGCTTTTAGTTTGGTTCAGCTGATGAAAGAATTGAATTTGAAGTGTTTGGACTGCTCTGGGCCTAGGATGTTTCATTGACAGATTAAGCTATACTGTTTCTGGAATCCCCAAGCCAACCCCTTTTTGTTTTTGTTTGTATTTTTTTCTCTCTCTTTTTTCTTTATTACACTGATTATTAGGCTGATTGGATGACGTCATTGCCAGAACGCTGACATGTACCGTGTACATGTACACTGAGCACATCACAGTACATTCAGTAGATAATGATGATCCTATTCAGTTGATAATGACCTCAAAGCTTGTTAAAATTGAATGAAGAGATGTTTGTAAATTGAGGCTTTTCTGTTTATGTCTGAATTGTTTTAATTTTAGAAAGAAATCATATGTTTTAAATATACTGGTTCTGATTTTTTAAGCTAGATGGCTATGCTTTATGTGAATGGATATGTTGTTAAATTTTTTCACCAATCATTATTTAAAACTTAATAGCAGTTAATTTGTCAAAATACTAACAGCCTATGACATGAATTTTACACAGGAAAATGTTTTGTGCAACGTTCAACTCTTCTTATATATATGAAAGTCTTTGCTTCTGTCAATCCAATGAAAAGTGCACTGTGTTTAAACCATTAAAACACACTTGCTTGACAAATGATATGGTGCTATTTCCATGGCAAAATTTAAAGGACACGCTGTTCACTTTTCTTATTAGGGGCTCTGTTCAAATTGTGAACCCCAAATTTGATCATTGAAAGTATTTGTGAATTATCACCGACCTACTGCGTGAGAACAACAAATCAGCAATAAAGAAAATAGACACAGCAAATTATCCAAATTTTGGGGAGCTTTTATGCTTAAAAGCTGTAACTTTGAGGTGTCTTTCAGAATTGACATCATAACTTTTCTCATAAATATGCAAATCCACATCAGCCAAAACACAATTGTGTGCATCGAGTGCCAACAAGATTGGAAAAGCTGAAATTAAAATGAGGTTAAACTAATGCGTGTAGAAGGCATTAAAGAACTACATTTTCTTAACATGGTCTGACCCAGAACTAGTGTTTTTTGTTTTGTGGGGTGAGAATGAAGAAATATGTTTATGTAACCTTTCATTACCTCTCTCAGGGCTGAGGCTGGATTTTCTCCATAATATTGGAAGAAAAGAAAGTGAAAAAGTCCCCCCAAAACCATTAAAAATGTGTCCCTGTGGACAAGGGGGGGGGAATGACCCTCTCAGGCTCCCCAGAATCCACTAATATTTAACTGCATTTTTGCAGTTTATACCATTCTTTGTATTTTTTTGTTTATATCTAGATGCTGGCAAGCTGTATCAGGAGAGCGAACATCACTGGGGAATGACTGATGGCTACAGTGACATGGTGGGCACGCCTGGCATGAAAGTCTGCTTTGCACAAGGTATCATTAGCAAAAATGTTTGCGATCCTGCACACAGACCTACTGTTGGCTTAGCAACAATTCACTCATAGTATTTGTGTGGGTTTTCTTAGCTATACATAAAGAATGTCCACACAAGTTGTGTAACATAAAAAGTGCACGAATGCATGTTTTTATAAAGAAATATGATTTTGCCGTGAGGTCTACTGACAGTGGTAAAATGACATGGGAAATTTGTGATTGGAATTCTGAATATCAACATGTCATGAGCATTTGGTCTAGAGTAACTCACCCTATTGTAGCTTTGTGCTTAAGCTAATACATATGTCATTTCTCCATGTCTTTGTGGTGGGGCCATGCATGTTTAGCATTGTTTTGTTTCCCCCATGGTCCTTAGGGCTGGACTATCATTGCAGGAGAATTTTCAAGGGCCTAATAAGGCACAGGGCCTACTTCTGTAGCAGTGCCAGAAGGAGGGGCGTAAGCCCCCCCCCTATTGCCATTTTTTTTCAAATCGGAAGTGCCATCTTTCTTGAAAAGATACTACCACCTGTCTTTTGGACATATAAAAAAAAGTTGTTTAGGGGAAAAAAATCCATTTGCCACCTTCCATCGACCCCATACCTGGAGACACCTCTGAAGTGCTGAACAGATAAAACCAGCCCTGCAGTTCCTGCTTTTTAAAACCCTTTCATCTTTTTTGTCCTCTCTTTTCTTTGCTTTTTCTTGCATCTTTACCTCGTCTAGGCCCAGAGCTTGATGCATTGGTGCTTGGAGGTGAATTCTCCAACACCACCTCCAATTCGACACTGGAACTGCAGCACAATGGGGATGCAGTGCAGTTACCAGATAGCCCTTTCACTTTGGCCCTGTGGTACAGCTTTCGACCGGTTGACTTCTTCACAACGATTAACGACACCATGGAGTGTGACCTTCTGCAGCTGGGCAACAGCAATAAAAAGGTCAAAGTAAGTAATTAAAGCTGCGTCCATCAGGTTTGGTTGGATCAAGGTGGCTAGTTATAGAATTGGCATATGCATCTGCCCGCTGCCACTTACTTGTTTTAACCGCCCTCAGCCTACATTCAATAACAGATCTTAATTCCAATTTCCAGTTCGTTGTAGTCAGAGATTGGAAAATAAAATTTTGGATAGAGTGGCACATGCACATAAGACAAAACAGGCTAAGTGCCAGTTTTCAAATTCCTTGTGCTTTTCCAACAACAAAAACACTTTCAGAAATGGGTTTTGTGGATACTGTCTTAAATAGCTTCTTGATTTGAATTTGAGTCTTTAGTCATATTTGCTTGAATCCAGAATTGCTGGTTCTGGAGTTCAGGTTCTTGGTCACCTTGTGCACTTCTGAGACTGATTCACTAGTGTACCATTGGCTTGACCATATTAAATGTCTTAATTGTATAGAGTATTTGAAATATCTGTATGAGATTTATGCTTTATAAAAGTACTAATTATTATTACTATTATTATAAATTATTAACTTGATTTGAGTTTTGAGATTCCTATCACAAGCATTAAAAGTTACTCGGCCGAAGTCAAGTCTTTACCCTTTTAGTTCCAAAGTGAGTTTTGTATCGGAGTTACTTTGCTGATGAGTCTCACCAAGGCTTCAGTCACACACCGTCAGGTCAAGCCTTTACTTGTGTAGTTTCAACAAGAGTATCTCCAGTTCCTTTATTCTTATGGAATTAAATTTGTATTTCGCTCATGCCATACAATGTTTACAAGCGCATTACTTTAAATTTTGCACACTTAATTAAGAAAGACATAAAAATCTCCAAGAAATTGCAGAAAAAGGAACCAAAAAGGTATTGCACAGCTACCCAAAATGAAAAATAACACAAACCAACATCGACAGTTAAAACTACAAAATAATTAAGATGACAATGGCACATAAGACAATTACAACCACCACCTATAATGTACCCAGTTAATAAAATGTCTGTTTAAACAGACAAGTTTTAACATTGATTTAAAAGTGTTGGTATGAGTCTTGGTACAAATCCTTGTGTCTTTGTTTCCAAGAGCTTGAGGAATCACTGAAGTCATGATTTTGAACCCTTGGCCATTGTTTTAGTATTACATTCACAAAATAATTAACTTGCCTCATTAAAAATGACAAATGTGTGTTCACAAGTTCATTTTTTAAAGTTCTGTTTTGTGCTCTAAGGAATATCAGCTGCAGTCGCAAATCTGAAACGGAGCATATCTGTTGTGCACCTTCTACTTTTTTTATGGGGGGTCTTTTTCTTTTTTCCCCTTCATTTTTAAACTGGTTATTTCTAATGACAGAATTCATAATGATATATGTCCTGCTTGTACATGTATAATATATTATGGTCAGGTTCGTCTTCATTTTGGATGTCCTGCCCCTCCTTTGTAATTCTTAGGAAAGCCCCTCCCCTTTTTGTGAATGTTCATTGATTCACCTCAGATGAATCGGCACCATTGCTAAATCCAAATTGGAATCATAACAAATGCAAATATAGTGAATGTGCGACCCAGTAGCATAGTTGAGATGGTGCTGCACCCATTACAGTGAGATTTTACAAACCAAATCAGGATACCGGTAAAACAAATCAGGACAGTGAAAATGGCTCATCATCAACGGGATGCAGATTCTCTTTTTGCAGCAGGCAAACAATAGACAAACCGATGAGGCAAAATCTGGATGGTGAAAATGGGTTAAACCAAAAGGATAAAAGGCTCTCATGCAATGGCAAAACACAACACTGGCTACACACTACCCCAAACTGTAGACTGCAAATTGCTGAAAACAGTAACGTGAAGTTATTATTTATGAAATGCTCCCTTTAAACTAAAGAGAAATGTTTACCTCCTATTCGACCAAAGACCTTGTTTGTATACCCCACCATATTGTACTTTTTTGACACCTGTTGCATTGAGTAATGATTTGGATCACAGTGGGGTTGGTTTTATTTTGTTTTTCATCAGATTTCATATAGTGGTCCTAAAGAGTACAATTTAAAGTACCAGTACCAATCAACCGATTGTGCGCATGTGATTGATGATGATGTTGATCGACCATACTGGGAGTTTGAGGTCAATGATACAACTGATGGAGACATCAAGAAGCAAGGCTGGCAGTGGAATCACATTGCCCTGGTGGTTGAAGGTAGAGACCGTGTGTTCAGTTGCTTTTCTTTTTCTTTTCTTGTTGAGTAAAAGAGAGAGAAAAAGAAAATACCTGCTGATGCTAAACAGTGACGTTAATTTGTGGCAAGAAGTGAGGGGTGGGCCGTGGAGGGTAACACATACCCCTGGGGTTTACTCCAGTCGATGTCAAGTTGAATGTTCCAGAAAAAAAGTCAAACTCAGTATGTCAGAGAAAAGATTTGCCAGGGTTTTTTTTGTGATATCAGAATTTTTGCATGAGGATTTGTCCTGATTCAGCAGTTTTCAAGCAATCGCCATTTAAGTTTTTACACATGAAAGTCAATATAGAACACAAGAACTGGGTATTTTGAAGGTGCCTTTAAGTAAACACAAAAAGTATGTATCATGTCGGACCCTGCTCTGCTTGGGCCCTCAAAACCTCCAGTGATTATTTCATGGATATTTCATTTTCCTCCAGTCTCACCCCCGGTATGTAGAAAGGAAAACCAGAGTGTTGAACAGTTGGAAACTATTGGCCCTTTTTACCCCTCATTGCCTATATGGAACAGACTGATTTTCAGGTCATGTGGTGACATGTGTAGATAGGGAAATTAATTATGCACAAAATATACTGACCCGAAGATTGTGGCGAACTATGAAGATGTTTGTTTTCCTTGCTCTTTTATGATTCAAAATTACATCCAGTGGCATATTGGTGAATTTTTTTTTGGGGGGGGGAAGGAGGGGAAAGCACCATTTTTTTGGGGGGGGGTGAGGTAAGCAAGGCTGTAATAATGAACTGCAACTTATGTCCCTTTCAGGATTTCAAAGTGGGGGACACTTGGGGCATGTACACCTGTAACTCCATTGGGAGCAAGGACCCCCCTCCCCTGTTACGCTAATTATCCTGTCAATTTTTCTCATATTCCTGAAGTTTTATGTGAATAGACATCTCTGCCCTCCTTTTAATTGGGCTGACAATTTGCAGAATGCATAATTGGTACCATTTCCCTCATTAAATCTGCACTTGTCCATTAATTTTCACATTATCCAAACTCACTTTTGCATCCATACATGTGCATGTACATGTGTACATGTTAAAGGGAGTGTGTGATTGTTTCATGCATTTCACCATGTCCAAAAGTTATCAGCATATGCACTTGTGGAAGCTTGGTTAAGCTAGCAGCTGGTACACTCTACTGACAAGTGTTTGAGCCAGCCACAGCCTGTTAAGTTGGACATGGCTGTATCAAGACTCCATATGTTAAATGCAAATTCATTTGTCCATACAATCACTAAACTTTTCTGGTCGTTCACAAATTGACCTATCACTGTTTGCGAGTTAGCCATGTGCCTTAGACAACATTATGGATTTTGTTCCTTGTCTCAGATTTTGCACTTCCCATGCCACATCAATTTGTGTATCATGTACGTAATTGGACAATATTTCACAAACTTTGTTGATGCAATTTTACCAAGATCAAACAGAGAGGAGCAGCTGCATCCGCATGTTGGAAATATCCAAGCTCGCTCACAAATGATAACATCTGTCTTTTTTTGTTAGAAACTACTGCAAATGAACTGACAGCTTATTACAATGGTTTCCGCATCAACCAAACACTTGAGAGAGATAGCAGCAGTGGCAGTAGCAGTTCATCCAGCAAACTGTTGCTGAATGTCCCTGTGGATGGCAAGCCCCCTTGTACCATGGTTGGGTTTGATGAGGTAACCGTGTGGCGGAGCGCGCTTACGGCTGAGGACATCCTAGCCCTGAGGGTCCATGTCGGCCGGAACCGGAGCCTAGACGAACCAGAGCCGACCACCCTCGCTGATACCACCCTTGCCGATACCACCCTCGCCGATACCACCCCTGAGTCTGGTGACACCACGGCGGGAGACACTACCGCTGGGGACACCACCGTGGGGGACACCACTCCCACCATGGATGGAGAATCGACAGTCACATCAAGCCCACTTGAAAGCACCCAGAAAAGTACAACTGGAGAAATGTCTTCATCTACCACACCCACTGATCAAACTACAGGTACATTCTGTAGCAAAGCCCTAGTTTATTCATTACTCACATATAACAAGAATAAGAGTCCAGTTTTTGTGTACACACTCCACAGACCCATTTTACTTATCTGTCAATTGTTTTACATCACTATCAACTTATCCTCCCCGAATTTGGTTCTCTTCAACAGCTCTTCTGTACTATTCCTTCTATGCACCAATAGCATTTGTTTGGAACATTGTTGGTACAATGTGTTTACAGATTCCCTTCAAAACTTATCTTGACAAATGTAAATATTAGGTGGCATGGTTAAATCTACGGGGCCAACAGTTACCCAGCAAAGGTCAAGCCCAACAGCAGCAAATGAGGCAACTACCCAGTCAGGCACAGAAAATGCAATCGATGATATTACTGAGGTAAGCCTTATTTTGTGCGCATCGTGAACTTAGCTACATAAGCTTTGATGTATGAATCACTTGTGGATGTCGTTCTTTTGAATTGATTGAAAAGCTGAACTTTAAGAAAGGTAAGATAGATATCAGCCCCCATTTTACATACAGATGCTGCCTGTTTAGAGCTATTGAAACAATATTTGCACTCCAATAGCAGGCCATGTACACAGTGATCAAGTTTCAAATTTAACAGAACGGTCCACCTCCAAACACTTTTCAAATGCATCTCCCCCTCCCATGAATATAGCTAGTTCATGTTTACGTATCTTCTGGCATGGATTGGTGTAACAAGCCTTCCTGCGTCCTGGACTAATGAAAACAGAATACATCTCCAAGCTCCTTTGGATGGAGGGAAAACTCCAAGGCACTCTGAAAGGTTGCAAAAAACATAGGAACTCAAGAATTAGACCTATTAAGAAGTTCAACCCGTACATTAGCTTTTGCATCCGTATAATAACATTCCTTCCCTCCAGACTGTTTGCTGGAGAGATGCCAAACATTCAACATGGTGATGAGCATGCATATGATTTTAATTATCACAAAGTGCTCTTCGTAGGAGTACCTCTTCACCTGCAAAGAAACTAGGATGCCCACAGCACATACATTTTAGTTGTATATTTAGCAGATATTTTGTTTCACATGCTCATGCTCAAATCTGTGATTGAAGTCTGTCCCCACCAATGGGGCATTGTACAAACATGCCCTCTCAGGGAGGGAATTTTGTCTCTCTGTGTAATTGGTCAAATGAAAATTTTCCTTGTCCTGTGATCAACTGTATGCAGAATCGATCCACAAAATTCTGGTTCAGCCCAGAACCCACAAAGAACCTACATGAGTTTACAGATTTTCAGGTTCAAATTATTTAGGCATACACTCCATGCTCTATTCAATGTGTCTCCCCCCCCCAAAAAAAGATGGAAGTAAAACTGTCCATTTTAAACATAAAGTATCAGCTGGCAGTATTCATGTGGTTATTAGAGGACACTCTTAACTTGATAACAATCCAGAGATACCGATATGCCTCTGTAAACATACCTCATCAAAATTGAGTCTGTGCCACTGGTCTCAGTGATTACTGGGCTTATAAAACTGAAACAACCAGATGTCAATTTCTCTTTTGCAATTTGATATCAAGTGAGGCGCTGACAGCAATATTCACTAAAACATACCCTTTTGTTCATGCAGTCGTTGCCCACCTAAGTGGAATTTGTAGTGTGTTTAATTGGGTTTTACCTAATCAGATAAGCAATTAATATGACAGCAAAGTTATTTCAAACGAGGCTGGCCGGCTAACCGGCTAGCTGTCTTTGGTTAATTTCTGAGTATAATCACTACTGATCTTTGTTTCTCTTTAATCACACACAGATTATATCAAGCGCCAGCCCACAGGTCAAAGCTAATAAGTTAAATGAGGTTGAACAAATTGTTGGTAATGCATCTGTGAATGACATTCACAAAATATCTGACAATTTGGTCAAGCTTTTGGACAAGGCCTCACAAACCCCACCTGCAACTGTAAACAGCAGCAGTAAAGATATTGCTGAGTTACGCAACTACAGAAAGGTAAGACAAACAAAACAAACAAAAAACAACAAGGTGAGTCCTTCAGAGGAACCCAGTCATAGATGTTAATGCTTTACTTACCCCACCATGAAGGATAAATCAGCGACGTTATTGAATCTTAAATCCAGCATTTGAAATATTGAATCTTGTATTTACAGAGTTAATGAGCCAGAGACTGGTATTCAGATAGGCAGAGTCATTTGAGAACAAAGTTAGAGCATAGCTATACTGATCAGAGGGTAGACTTCATCCATCCATATGTGCAAGGGCAGATCCGGGGGGCTAACGGGCCATGAACCCCTCCCCCCTCCAAAAAAAGGAAGCCATTTTTTTGGTAAAACAATGAGAAAGATGGGATTTTTGGTTTTTTATTATCTTTTTGTCCCAAAGTATGTAAAAAGCCCCACAAGTAATGTACCCTCATGTCCCAGAAAGGCCATAAAAGGATATTTTAGAAAAATTTCACTGTTTTTTGCAAATAAATAACAAGTTTGACATCCAAAAAAATACAGTTCAGAATCCATGCTAGGGCCTGCACTATTTGAAAATGAAATGATTCAACAAGATAAGTACTAGTTCAAGTTACTAGTTAAGCGGGGGCAGTGACCCCTCACTTATTTGATGGGGGAGGGCATGTCTCCCCCTTTTGGCATGTCTATAATAAGATGGAGCTTAATGGATCAACCTGTTAATAGCTGATACCTCACAACTGGCCCCCCACATTGAAAATTATTGTGTCACCATATATCCTTTACCATTAAAAACAACTCTCAACTGGTATTTAAAACGCAGAAATGTTCAGGTTTCTCCTCCTTTTTGGGTGTCTCCCACCCCCACGTTTTTCCTCAATTGCTGGATCTGTCACTGTTATCTAATGGTCACCAAAATGAAAGTAGTATGGTGGGTTTTCACAAGAGCTGTAGCCGGCATGCAGTCAACTTCTTATTGGACGTTGATTTTTGTGCTTTCTTCATAGGCATTTGTGAATCTGTTTTCATCAATACTGGAGCAATGGGAGGAGGTTGAGGTTGAGGTATGGTAGATGCTTTATTCTTCTGTTTCAAAGACAGAAAGTCACCTGATTCCCCAAACTCCAGCCGCCAAAAATTGAGTGCCAGTTGCCAGACCCGCCTTTTCACTTGATAACTCTTTTTTATTTTCTGAGCACTGCAGTGCTTGACACTTTTGGAATCATTTGTTGTGAAATCAGAATTGAATAAGCATTGTTCAGGGGCATCTGTTCCATTCTGTTTCACTTTTAGGAGTCTATCCACGTGGTTGGCAATGGTCTAGTGCACGTTATGGACGAGTTTCTGACCAATTACGTTGAAGACCCAACCGTGAATGAGACTGAGTCTATTAATAGCAATGGAGTTGGTAAGATTTCTGTTTTCAGGTGCAGGTGTTATGCAAAGGTAATGGAAAAATGTGTCCAGTGAGATATCAGTATTGCATATTTTTTATTTTGAATGTATGTAAGCACAATGCCTCAAACAGACAATTTTATGATTACTTCATGTTTAGCATTGGTAGTCATAATCAAGTATTTCTCCAGGAGGCTCACAGCACACAGGTATAGCTAATGCAGGGTGGATTTGTTATTGCATAGCATTGAGGAAGAGGGTAAGGAGTCACTCTCTCCTCAAAGTTTCTTAAAGCAAAGGTACCTCAACATTTTTTGTCCTTTCTGATTGCGTACTGTCTGGAGTGGGCCCCCAGTTAAAGTGCATCTACAAGCAACCCAATGAGGGGTATGCATCCATTTGCCTTTGTTTAGCTGGGAATTCTTGGAAAACTTTCATATTCGTAAAACTACTTTTCCTCAGGGAAAATGTTCAAGCTTAGGAAAAAAGGCATGTCGTTGTTTTGAAGGGAATCAATCCATGATAAAATGCTAAAAATGTGTAAAAGTTGCTAATTACCTGTTAAGGATACAGTCATTGATTTCATGATCTTTTCTTTTCTTTCTTCTTTTTTGTGGAAAGTTTGGCTTATTTTCTCTGATGTCCATCTTTACTTCAGATGTACAGCTAGCTCCAGCAAATGGCTCTACTGTTAAACTGGAAGGCAACACTAATGTTAGCATCCCCGTGGATGCTTTTGACTTTGGTGAGAACCATCAGTGCTTTCACTTCAGAAAATATGTTCCAAAAATTTCCTAAATCATTCAGTCACTCTTTTCCGTATTGAAAAGTTTGCATGCATCTGAGATGCCGTATTCAAACAAGTGCATGTTTGTTTCGTATCCTTTATTGTTTTACTTTTGGATCGACTTTGCAAAAGTGTTGTTAATCTGCAGTGCAGATATTTGCCATGAGATCTAAAGTTTTCCTTTGTGTTTGATAATTTTTGCACTAAGTGTGAATTGGCATTCATGCTTTAGTGGAAATTTCATCATGAATGCCTAAATGACCGATTACGAGTGGTTCAAAGCTCATGGAACTAACAACTCGCTCCAACACTCGTATGGTGTCATAGGAAATTTGCAGCGTGGACTCCTAGTTTATGGACTCAAATCCTCATGCAAGGCAATCACTGATTTCGTTATAATCAACTAGTGGGTACAATTTCGTAAAGTCCACTTTTCACCCTTAATCAGCACTAAGTATGTCCCACATTCTGCAATACAACTCTGCTCATCACTTTCCATGTGAAAGAGATTTGGTACCGGTGCATGCAAGACACATACCATAATTGTGGGTGACGAATGTTTTACAAGAAAACACTGTAAAATTGATAAAAAAGGACTGTTGGAAAATATCATTTTTCAACTTTGAATTGACTTTTCTCTTCCAAAATAATAAACGTGTAAGAAAAACCCTTAAAAATCCTGATAAATGTCCTGACTCCACTTTTTTGATCACTTACAGCAGTTACCTCCACTGATGCCATTTTTTTCACTTTATTGCAGAAACTAAGGGAGTCAAGGTTTTGATTTGTGTCTTGAAGAAAGGAATGCAGAATTTGCTGGAACCCAAAGGAGGCCAACAGCCTGTGGACATAAAAGAGTAAGTAAAAGTGGTGAAGGAAAGCGCTGGTACATGCAACCCCCTCCCCTAGAAATGAGTTATAATCTGAAGTTTACACCCAACTTCATTCTGACTACCTGGTGTCGGGTAGATCCAGGGGGGGCACATGCACTGCTTTTCTTTACCTCGAAATAATAAATACACAAAAGTACTACCTGAAATTGCACTAAGTTTCCTGGGGCCCTTTGACCCAGGACCCCATGCAGTAAGGACTTTGTGCTACGCACTCATGCCAACATGCCAGATGAGTCACTGTGCAGAACAATTGGAATCATTCTTTTCTTTATCATGCTTTCTCTCTCCAGTGAATACAACGAAAAACCAACATGGAACATCTCCGGTCCCATCCTTGTAATGCGGGTCTCCGGTCGAACAGGCTCTGTGACGCTGCAAAAACCAATCTCATTTGAAGTGGAAGTGAATCCGGTAGGTCTGTGATTTACATCACTGCTGACACTAACGTTCTATTCTAAATAATACTTTAAGTTGTTAGTACAAATGATAATTTGTAATGACTTTCTCAATTCAGTCCACTTTAGAGAATACTGGCATATAAATTAATCTCATCTGATCTATTTAGGGGAGAATTCCTTTTTTAACTAGCAGTAACTCGAGGTTGACCCCGAGGTAACTCGGGGTTTTTCATGGTACCACCAGGGGTTCTCTACAATGAGCTCATTATCTCTGGGTCAATGCACACCAAGCACTATGGTCATTAAAACCTGGCTGCTTCATCTTGCTGCAAACGCATGCAATAGGAACGCTTGATTGCGCCTTAATCTTCTTGCTAATCTGCAACGTCCACGGCTTTTTTGGGGGGAGAAAAGCTTGAAATTCTCACAAGTCATGAATGATGAAACTTTTGAGTTGACAAGGTATACCATTACTCCTCTAATCCCCTTGTAATACTGCAAATTAAAGCAGCCTATTGTTTGCCATGCTTGCCCCAGCTCTTTTATTACCACAGGTGGATTGAAGCCAGAGATGCAGTTTCATTTTATTTATTTCATTTCTCGGGAAGAACAAGTTACAAGAAACAAATACAAACACAATAAGACAAGAAGATAATAATTACAAAGAATATTTCAATCAGCCCCTGAAGGATTGCCCAAAAGAAATAATTTCTGTTATAGAGGCTCTCCAAACTAATTGAAATAAATACAAAACATATACTACACTTATGATAAATAATTATTCTCTGATAAAAGGAATTAAGAATGAAGAATAAAATAAAATAGAGAATAAAATTTAAAAAAATAAAATAAATTATCCGTCTGTAAAGAAGAAGGAGAGAGAGGGGGGAATAGAACATTATGTTATGATTAGAAAGCTTGTGAGATGGGTTCTTGGTTAAACAAGTGGTCACGTAAAGAGCAAAGAAATTCTTTTGGGGACGGTTGAAGGCACATATTCTGGAGGCTAGAAGGGAGAGTGTTGAAAAACCTGGGAAAAGAGACAAACAGTGAGTATTTAAGGCAGTTGGTCCGACTGTATTGGTGAATGAAGAGTAATACATCAGTTCTCCTAGTATTTGGTTGAGGAAGTAGAGTTGAAGGGACATCCATTTGTTTGTGGAGGTATTTCACTACAAAAGCCATGCTCAGATAAGTTAGCCTGTTGTAGAGGGGTGGAAGATTGAGTTCCTGTAAAGCGCTGTTTGTACGAGAGAGTGTGTGCAATATAAGGTAAGCAAGATTTTATAAATCTACATTGTACAAGGCATTGAATTTGATTTTTGAGATGAGGGAGCCAGACCGGAGCTGCGTATTCTAAGTATAGGCCAAAGTGTCAAAAAGACCGGTCAGTTGAGTGGTACATGAGCACTTAGGTAAAAATCCATGCTGAGAATCAGGGATAATGCTGTAAAGAGAAGAATGATGGTGTAAACGCTTTGATATAAATCGTTCCAACATTTTACATGTAACATCTGTCAGAGAAATGGGTCTGTCATTTGAAATAACAGATTTGTCGCCATGTTTAAATAGAGGAACAACATTTGCCATTCTCCAGCACTGTGGCACATCTCCTGTTGAGAGACTCGGGTTAAATGTTCTAGTTAAAGTTTGTACAATAGAAAAACCAGCAAGTCTAAGCATCTGTTGTGAGATTCCATCTAAGCCTGGAGGTTTGGAAGGATCGAGGTGATTAATCTCTTTCAGCACATCACCCTGACTGACTTCAAGAGAATCAAGACGGTGGCTTCACATCCCTCACTGGTAGGGATCTGGAAGGTGGTCTGAGCAGGTGTAAAGTTACTCTGAAAGAAAATGTTAAATGCCTTTGCAATTGAACTGGGGGAATCAAACTCTTGGCCATTCAAATGAAAAGAATTGATAGGTTGGGATTTACGTTGCAATTTAACAAAAGACCAAAATCGTTTGGGATTTGATTTACAATCCACTGCAAGGCTTTGAACATAATCATTATAGGAGTTTCTAACCAACAGCTTAACATGGGATCTTAAAGTCTTGTACTTTTTCCATAGGTTCACATTCTCCTTGTTCTTTATGGCCTGACGGTATGCTCTGTTCTTTTTCCTGGATGCTTGGACGATCTCACACGTTATCCAAGGGGATCTTTGCTGACCTTTGGAGATGACGATGGGAACTACATCTTTTACTGCAGCATGGACCAAGGATGCAAAGTTGTCCCATGTTTCATGTATGTCGGACTCGTCACAGAATAGGTCCCAGGGGATACACTGGAATGTTTGTTGGAAGTCTAGTTTGTCAGTCTTGCTGAACTGGTGAAATGATCTATGTAGACCTGTGTGGCTTGATGTAGTGTTGATGTTAAAGCAGATGGCGTCACAGTCACTGTTGCCAAGACTAGCTTCTCTGTAGATATTTTTAGTCCAGGTAGGGTCGTTACAAAAGATGAGGTCAAGTGTAGAATTGGCACCATTGGGATTTCGTCTTGTTGGAAACGAGACCAGTTGTGACATGCCTAGGGATTCCACAATGCTCAGAACTGCTGCAGAGTGACTGCTAACACTGGGTATGTTGTGCTCATCAGAGGCAGAAGTACACGGTATTTTGAGGTTGAAGTCTCCAAGGAAAAAGATGGCTTTGTACTGATGAGAACAAGGAAGGATGCAATTGATGGAGTAGGAGAGTGCCTCGTTGAAGCCTGATGTTGAAGATGGAGGACGATAACAAGTTCCGAACAGAAGCTTGCCTTTATTCTGAGGAAGGACAACTTGAACCCAGACCAGTTGGCCTGGATGTTAGGGGACGGCTCAAATTCAGTGTTCCCCGACGCTTGATGATTTGATTTGCAAGCAAATAGGACACCTCCTCCATTACGATTTCTGTCTTGCCTGAAGATCTGGTCGTGTAGTGGGTAAAGAACTTCACCATCGTAAATGTCAGGGCATAACCCTGTTTCAGTTATGAAGGCAAATTCAATGTCATTCATGCTTAGCCTGGTCTGGAGCTCAAGAGTCTTGTTGAAAATGCTTCTTGCATTTAGAAGAACACATTTCATTTGAGATTTAGACTCAGATGGAGGTCCTGGATAGAGTTCAATGTCACCAGATTGAAGTAGCTGTACTTGAAAAGTGACCCCAAATATTCATGATGCATTGTATTTATGCAGGGTGTCAAACCCCGAGTTACCATGGGGTTCAACCTCAAGTTACCGCCAGTTAAAAAAGGAATTCTCCCCATACTTTCCCTCACTGCCATGAAGAGGGAAAAATTTTTTTAAGTTACTGAATTAAATTTGAAATGAAAATGTTATACTTATAGTTTACATCTTTTCTTATTCACCATGACTGATATCCTTTTTCACAGGATATTGGAGAGAATCCCACATGTGTCTTCCAGAATGGAAGGTGAGTCTTGTCACTTTTTTGTGTACCTATACTTTCTTGCAGAGGAGAGGAGAAGTACAGTGTGTTTGTCTGTCTCCCAATGTTGTGCAACAGATTTGGTTGAAAATGCAAAACCAACCTGAAACATTCTAGCTATAAACCAAATAAGACCCAAAATCGATCATGAGTTTGGAAATCTGACCCAACCAGACAGAAACTAAAGTTAAACCAGTTCATACCTACCTGAACCCCCCCCCATATCTGGCTCAGAGAAATCCTCCTAGAATTTGTCCATTTTTTGTGACTGTACTTGTCCGCAATGCTGAATTCTTGTGGAAAAAATATTACAATAACTCTGAATTCTTCCAATGTATTTCTCTTTACAATCACAGTTGGAGTGTGGAAAGTAATTTAATGGGGAAAAAATTATGCATCTTGGTCATGCCAGGCAATATGATTCTGCAATAATGATGCACCTTGTGAATGTCTGAGCTGTTTAAGTCTTTCCATTTTTTTTTTCAAGTTTTCAGCAAAATTTGCTTAAACAAACTGACCAGACCTGAAAATCAACAAATGCAAAACCAAGACTGACCTGACCCAAGTAAAAATCAGGAAAAATAGGAAATGGGAAAGATTTGACCCAACAGACCCAGTGTTGGATTTGGGTTGGGTCAGTTTCAGGTTTGGGTTTGTAGCCAAATTGTTTTTGAAATGTAAAGGGAAAAAGGCGATTATATCTGAGTATTACATTGCCTTGGTTTCCTTCCCAAAGAATGTAAATTTTAGCCTTGCTCTTCCGAAACACCAACAAAAAGGTTACTTAAAGATGTTCCCATTTTTTTTGCCTTAATCCATCCTTGAGAGAGCAATGGAAGTCACACCTTAGAAGAAATTTTGATCCATCTATGCTGGTTTTTTTAACACAGTTCATGGTCGGGTAAAGGACTAGATATGGGCCAGTATGACAAGAACTGTCCTTGTGTCATCTGCAAGACTACTCACATGACAAACTTTGCTGTGCTGATGTCAGTGAACAGAGTTAAGGTATGTGTTACTGCCCCCTCATTTTTGGGCAGGTCAATGAATAATAAGGGAGGAAGGGGATGGTACTGTTCTGTTTCATTAGCATCTAAATCTAAATCATCAAATCTAATCCTTTTTGTCTATCCCATCTCACTAGTCTCCATCTCAAGATCATAACAAAGCCATTTAATGTATTAGTTTGCAATATTCTTATAGTGTGATTCTCCTTTTACTTCTCTGTCCTGATAACATTTGAAAAAAAATGCAATAATTATCCATGTCAGTAGGCTGAATATTGGATACGTGCACATAACTGCACTTTGGATAAACTCATATTTATTCATATCACATACAAAACATCTTTGCTTAACTCATGTACACCTCAAAGGTCTTTATGCAAGAAAAGGACATCTCACATATTTGACTTATTTCAAAAATGCACCCAAAAAAGTCTTAATGGCAGAATGACCTCTTGGCTCAGCCTTGGTTGGTATCTTGTCTGAAACCTTGCATAATTGCTTTAATGTGTATACACATTGCCAGAACTGATTAGTCAAGTCCCTTGCACACAGGGAAGGAGTGTCAGTGATTTTAGTCTGAAAGTCGGAAATAGTTGCATTGTTGCATTGCGTTGTATTGTATGTTTTGAACAAACAACATTTCAAATGAAAAAGTGATCTGCAAATGATCTCAATAGGGTCTCGAAAAAATTCTCAATTAGATTGTCAGCACATTTCAACATGAGGTTCAGTGCAACAATGTTTGCATCTATGTTCTCAGAGATTACTCTCTATAACTTAATTATCTCTCAAATCATTAAATAGTTGAGACGCACAAAAAAGTCTTCAAAAGTGTCAAAAAGGTCTCAACTACAACATCACCCCTGTGAAACTGAACACCAAGTGAAGATGCATTTGTTCAAATCTCCCTCTCCTTCAGCTTTGGCCACGTGGTGAACTGCTGTGTAGAGAATTACACCCATTAGTTTTTAAAACCTGCAATCTATTTTGTCTGTTCCTAGGTTGTAGGGCCTCATAGTGTACTGCTGTCCATCATCTCATACATTGGATGCAGCTTATCTCTACTCTGCCTCCTCATCGCCATCATCATGTTCATACTGCTCCGGTAAGAACACACAAAGGACGAATAAGGAGGCCATTGTGCCTCTTTGCCAAGTTCATTTGTTGACTTTTTTGAGTTTTGTTGAAAAAAAAAGAAAATTATGCTGAAAACGCAGTAAAATGCTGTCTTACTAGATTGTTTGTTTACTTTCACTTGGCAAGTGGTCAGTATTGTGCCCCCCCAAAAGTGTGTAGGGAAATGCTGTCCTTTCTAAACATAAAATGTCATCTGGCAGTATTGTAAACTCCAGTGGTTTTAAGGAGAACACTCCCAGCTTGACGGTGCCTATTCTTTCTTCTTATATGCTTTTATCAATCCAGAGATATATGCTGCAGTTGGAGTTTGTGCTATGCCTAGGAAAACAGGTCACTTTTCAACATGTTTCAGTGCATACATATTGCCATCAGCATCTCCATTGGAATCAAATCGTAAAGGCAAAATGCATGTTCTGTGTTATTTCAATTAGGTCTGTTGATCAGACTAAATAATGATCCCAACTATATCTCTGGATCGCCAAAGGAAAAAAAGGTGAAATAAAGAGCATCATCGAGCCAAGAGTGCTTCCTTGAAACCTTGTATTAAAGCTGGTATTATACTGCCAGTTGTTCATGTTATGTTCAAAATGGACAGTATGTGCTGCATCAGCATATCAAATTCTTATATAAGACTTAACATTGGGTCATTCAGGAACTGCTTGGTTTTTACCAAATTTGCTGATTATGTGAAAGCTTGTTTGTAAACAGGTGTTAACACAGAGTCTGAGTTCGGGCGGCTTGTTCTCGTATGTTCATGCAAGCAACATGCAACATGGCAGCATCCTTGTACATTCTTTGAGATTTATTTTTTGAGCTAACTTCTTTTCCATTTAAAAAAATCATATCTGTCATGGAAAATTATTGATGTTAATTGTGCAAAACTTTCCGTTGTCTCCAGTTTTGTAAGCCATCTGGATAGTTTTTGCAGCTTTTCAAAAATAAAATCTCACGAGTTTTCCTGTGTGTTCGTGTAAAACCCTGATGAAGAGGTGGTGTTTGAACCTGTTCCGAGAATAGTGTTCTTGGGTCATGTTACGCGTTCGAGTGCAAGAACGCGAAACCCGTATCAAGAACAGGCCGCCCGAACTTGACCGTAGTGCACAAACAACCGAACACACAATTGCTGTCACAATTGGAAGACATGCCACTAATTATACCCTTTACATTAAAGCCAACATCTTCATGCTTGATTAATTGTAGAGAGCTGAACTCCACGCGCATGGGCATTGTGAAGAATCTGTGCGTAGCCCTGTTCTTTGCTCAGCTGCTGTTTGTTGCTGGAATAGAAACAGCAAAAGTGAACGAGGTAAGACCTTATTGACATCAGTACTAGGTCAGGGGAAGGGGATGGAAATGGAAATGTGTTTTCTAAAAATAACAGTCCAACTAGCAAACCTTTTTTCCATTCCTAAAAAAATCATCATTACCACATCTACCCACCCCCCAGAATGGAGCGGTGAATATCTAAAATACTGTCACTTTCAACTCCTGCATGGGTCACTACACTGTTGATCTACCATCTTCAATAAATTGCACAGATCAGAAAATAGTACTAAAATCAAGCCTTGACTTAATGGGATTTTGGGGGTTTTGGGTTTTTTTTTCCAGATTGCCTGCAAGGCCGTAGCTGCCATGTTACACTACTTCTTCTTGTGCGTCATGGCCTGGCTGCTGTGTAATGGCATCTACCTGTACCAGAAAGTGAAAAAAGCCACCCGGCCTGGCAGTGTGGTGGACCTGATCTACTTCTGTATCCTGGGCTGGGGTAGGCCACCTTATGATAGGAGGCACAGTTAGGCTGGATTGAGGACATGGCTGGGTTTACTGTCTATCCCATAATTCTGTTTTACTTTTAAATGCTAATTTTTCTCATTTTGCTCCTTATCTTTTCCTGAGATGGCAACACACAAGGGAATGCTTTTATGGATTTTACCCAGTTTTGTAAAGGTTCAGTACCAATGAAACCTTTTTTAAAATTTTACCAGGAGAAGACTTTAGCAATATGTCATTTTCAATCAGGTATTCATTGGTGTATCAAGTAGACATGTTTCCATTTTGTTATTAATATTCTTAAAGTATTTAAACTACCAGCATTTACAATACAGGCCTATCACCGTGGGGGGTAAAGGCTACTTTTATGGAGGAAAAAGTCAGACAGTTGTGTTTTTCATGAAAAATTTCCGATTTTACCTCCCCCCTTGGATCCAAGACCTGATACACCACTATTAATTGGGTACTATACATGGGGTGTCAATGCTGTAGTCACTACTTAGGTTCTATATACATGGGGTATCAATGCTGTAGTCAACTTTGTCAAATTCAGTACCACAGCCATGGCCAGTTCCATTGCCACAATCTTAGTTATGTGTCACTGAGGCAAAGGAAAGGGGACAAACTCTTATGTGAGCAAAATTTTGATTGGAAGTCCACACACACACAAGTGTGTATTTGCCTGCAACTGGGGACCCTTATGGTTCCTCTTTTGTTTGTACTTTAACTTTTTTAGAAGACAACCCATATCTTTTGTGCACAGTTATCAATTATCGGGGACCCTCTGTCAATCGGGGACCTTATTGTCCTCTATTGTTCAGGGTCCCCAACTGAATGCAGAAACAAACTCACACACACAAAAAGGAATCTAATTTGTATAGATCAATGCCAGGAGACGCAAAAACTGCAGTGGTACCACACTCACACAAGCGCAGTCCAAAGCTCCATGCGCATGCATCTGGCAAGTCACAGCATACCACCTGTAAACAAATTTTGTGCTGCCGCAGTAGTGGCTTCTAACCTTCTCGTTGCCAAAGTAGACTACAGTCACATGAATAGGCAGAGAGGACTGCCAGGCACTCATAGGGAAGTGGAGCAAATTAGAAAGAGATTCACCAATCAGTTGGTTTGTATCTTGCTGCTTATTTCATTACAGGTGCCCCTGCTGTGGTGGTTGCCATCACCGCAGGGATTAACCATGAAGTGTATGGAACAAAAGACCTGTAAGTAGTGGTGAGAAAAATGATATTAATAAGATCTATGATAAAAGGAGTAAATAAAGACAGCGCAGTTCATGGTTCATAGTGAGCTGCATCTGGCCAGATTTTTTTTTACCGATTGAGCTTGTCAAGTTGGCACCAGCAACCAATCTGGGGTTGGGACACTTGTTTTTTATATGCCTTACCATCATACATTAACAGGAAGCAATGATAGCTACCAATGATGATGACAAATGCAGTGGCATAACTAGCATTCATAAATACCTGTATATGACTATGTATGAACGTGCCAAGTTCATTGCAGGGGATTCTATTCGACAATTTTCAAAAGCAATATACCATAAAACGGACGGGGATGTTTGGGAAACAGAAAGTAAAGGTTGGAAATTCATCATATGTTAAATTCTTTTGATGCTCTGAATAAAAATGTATTTATGAATGGGAAAAAGCATGTGCTTGGCCAGTCTTAAACTAATGCCGTCACCTGCAGCTCTGACATTAGTCATGTCCCTTCTCCTGAGCCAGTCTTAAATGCACATTTAAGACTGGCCAACCACACATTTATTCCCTTATTAAGTTTCTGAGGTACTGAGGGGTCAACTCAGAGTGCACCATATTTTTCCAAGGGGGCACTGATTAAAGCAAATTAACTGTGGCTTGTACACTCACACCGTGCTGTGGACACTTCGAATTTTCAATTGAGGGGCGCAGAGGGGGGGGCACGTTCTTGTGCTGGGGAGAAGGTTGTGTGGCCCCCCCACCCTACTCCACTGGACAAATGTGATTTTTGTCAGGGGATAAACTGTACGTTTGCCCCCTTTTGTTCTTCAGGTGTTGGCTGTCAGTTGAGGGGGCTGGAATCTGGGCTTTTGTAGGACCGGCAATGCTCATCATTGTCGTAAGTTGGATACCGTAACAGCAACTTTTTTTCTCTCTAATTCGTTCTGAGCTGCAACTTCAAATTCACATTGATTGGAAGCTGTTGTAAAATTGGACTCTAAGATTTGTGAAAAAAAGGATTTTGGCAAAGATTAGCAATATTTCTTGAGTGAAAGCAAGCTCCACGAAAAGAAACTCGTCAGGAGCTCAACTGATGTTCTTAACTTTTTACAGTAAAACTGACTTTACCATCCATCCCCAATCAAAAGACTCCTACGAGTTGTATATCCTGGGATGAAAATGGGAGGTATTGCCAATAGATATCATTAAGCATTGGGGTTTTCCTAAGTCAACAAAAATCTACAATGCATTGATCCAAACAGTGAAACAGCTTACCCAAACTGACATTCTGGAAGAATGTTATGACACTTTCTCTGAAATTGATATGGAAACATGATCTGCAAGACAGGAGCAGTGAAAAATCATGAAGGCTTTTCAAAGTGAAAACAATTTTCAAGTGCTTTGTACGCAAACCCCCATTTTTCTATTTTTATCTTTCAGTTCAACGCATTCGTGACATTCTTGACCATGAAGGCCTTTGTCTCAGTCAAGGTTTTCAAGGACAAGTCTGACAAGGACAAATTCAAGTAAGAGGACAGTTAAGAAGATATTCTTTTTGAGATAAAGAGTCTGTTTTCAAAAGGACAGTCTTCTAGTTGGCAAACCCTATAGATGTTCCCAGATGTAGAGGGTGGCTCATTGAGCTTTATGATTTGCAGAGAGTTTACCATTTTGAAAAAAAAATTCAACACTGTGTTGCCCTTAAAGTGTGATTTAGACAACACTATGCCAATTATAAATTAATAACTAGCAAAATGTGAAAAATAAAAAAAGCATTTTCTTTTCACCTCACCTAGAGCATAGATAACAGAATATAATCCATTTGACAAATTTCTCAGTTAGGAAGGAGGAATAAAGATTCTTCCAAAGATTTGCTCCTCTTAAGAATAATAATCATAATCAAGCTTTATGCAGAGCCAGTAATGTATTAAATTCTAATTTTTTGGGGGGAAGTTCTTAATTATCATTCTACACCTTAAAAACTGAAGTGTTAAATCCAACACTTACATGTATACATCTGTAAAGACACTTTGAAAGCGTTGAATCCAGAATTTAAATGTTAATTAAGCATTTGAACATTTAAATCCAGCTTATAAAACAGCTCATTCGATACAAACTGAAGTGCTGAAAGTAATATTTCTAAGTGCAGCATTTAGTCAGTGGCCACGGAAGTGTTGAATCCAGCATTTTAAATGCTTAATCAATCATTTGAAATATTAAAATCCAGCTTTAAAACTTTCAATTCGGCATTTGAATATTTGTTTAACAATGGTTAGGAAAAACAAGTTGAAAACGTTGAATTGATCCTCGAATCGTTTAATTCAACTTTTTGTTTCAAAGTGAGTTCATGATCACAAACATGAAAGTGTCAGACTAAATACTTCAGTTTTAGTTTGTTGATGTTATGTGTACCAAAAAGACAAGATATGACATCATTAAGAGTAATACCCCATTTTACTTAAAATATGCTCTCAAAGTTTTTCTGAAGCAGAAGCATCAGGAAAGTAGCTCAGCAATGCCAACTCACTAACAAACTAACTGGTCTTTTGACAGTATGTGCAAAGTCTTATTCCTTCAGAATACCTCTAGATCCCAGAAAATCTTGAGGCCTCGTATCACCCTCCATTCAATGTCAGTTCACAAATTAATGAGTTTGTGCATTACCAAACAGCCTTTTTGTTGTGATGCACTTGGATAAACACATCCCTCCATTATCAATGGGTCATGTAACTTTCCTTATGCATAATGAACCATCCCCTTTAATCGCACCATTTTCATCCATGATGAAACCCTCTTTGGTCTGCTTCTCAGGTCGGGCTTGCGTGCAGTGGTAGTGTTGCTGCCCATCCTTGGACTGTCTTGGATCTTTGGGCTCCTGGCATTCGGAGAGTCAACGATCTTTTTCCAGTACCTGTTCGCTATTTTCAACTCCTTACAGGTAACTGTCAATGCACTCTGAAACAAGGATTTTGCCATTGCTCTTGAATGTTTTGCTGAAGATCAAGGCTTTTAAAAAGGATCCCGGCCTTCCTACTATTCAGATTTAATTGGAACTGTTCCAATTTCGAAGTAAAGGCTTGGAACATTCTGATTTATGAAACAAAACAAAATCGAAAATTGTCCCACTTGCTCACCCTACACTATCTGTGAAATTTGCTCATCCCCAGTAAAAATGTAGACCCCCAGAGCATGGCAACCATGAAACATGAAAAATGTTAAACAGTGGTGAACCCCAATACATATACTCCATGGGAATGAGTGTGAAACCATTGACACACAGGCGCAATTATGACGCATGACTCAGTACAAACACCCAACGGCTCTGCACATCTTCACAAGGCTCCATCATGCCTTTTGCATTTTCCATCACTCAAAAGGCAATGGGATCTACATGTTTTCACTGTCAGATTCTTAGACCAAAGCATCCCAACTGTTTTCATCGCAGGTTTAACAATCAAGAGTAAACAGATACAATAAATAAATAGCAGCAGTGAGTAAGATAACAAGGCGTTTGCACTGTGCATGCACTTTGTGTTCCACCTTCTGAGTTTCCAATGTTGGCATAAGCATCTTTTTTTTCATTAACAAGATTAATAATGCAACATAATCATCAGAACAACTTGAGTTGTAAACAAATACATTTGGAATTCAGTGGTAGGAATTACAAACATACATGCATCCTACACGGGGATGTCAATTGAGGAGCATCAAAATGAACAGATTGGTATGCTTTGAGTACTGCAAACAGGAAATAAACATACTAAATGTTTCTAGACTCATTTTATGGGATCTGGTCATAGTTAGGGCTGACGTCTAGTCAATTCCTTACATGTCCATCACAAATCACTGGGTAGATTTCAATTAGGCCAAGTCACAAACTGTTTGAATGAATAAACTTGACCAAACCTACTACCAAAGGCCAGTACAAGTGTGACCTCAAAAGTGTGTTTAACTTTATCCGTCTGACCTGTATTTTCAACTTCTTTGAAAAGACCAAATTTCATTGTCTTGTCTTTAATGGAACATCTCAATGTACCACTGGTGGCAGAACAGGGAGACTGAGGGGGCCATTGCCCCCCCCCACCTTTGAAACAGTAGTCATTTTGCCCCCAGCTTTAGGCCTACCAGCCATTGGAGGTACATTGAAACTTTATAGTTTTATTCTTTTCAGCCTAACGCTACTGAAAATGTCCAATTCATTTACCTGTTGAGATCAATTCACTTACCTATTGGATCCAATTCACGTACCAATTGGATCCAAGTCACTTACCAATTCAATAACCAGTTTCAAAACCAATTGCTTTTGCTTGGAATCAATCGGAATCCAATTGGGCTTGATTGGTTTGAATAGTAAATTCACACCTTTTCTCAATTGGTCCATTTCAAACCAATTGACACCATTTGAATGCCAGTTCACAATCCAACTGTAACCAACTGAAGAACCAATTGAAACCATTTCAGTACCAATTCAAACCAATTGAGTCCCATTTGAAAAATCCATTTGATGGAGGAAACAAGCTGAAAGCAAACCAATTGGAACCAGTTGTGTCCCATTTGGAATTTCCTATTGATTGAGGAAAACAAACAGAGAGAAAGCAAACCAATTGGAAACATTTGGTTCCCATTTGAAATTCCAATTGATTGGGGAAATAAACAGCAAAGAAAAAAATGTCAGTTGAAACCAATTGTGTCCTATTTGAAATCCCCAATTGATGGGGAAAACAAATGGGAGAGAAATCATACCAACAGAAACCAATTGAGCACAAATTGATGGTCAATTGGACCCAATTCATTTCAATTAAATCCAATGTAAAAAGCAATTGGTTTGAATAGGCAATTTTTAGTAGGGAATGGCAGGGGCTTGGCCCCCCCCCTCTTTTAAAACTGTTCCGTTGCTGTTGCAATGTACTCATTGAAATAGTGATATCGTGCAGAAGTTTTGAAGCCAAGATGTTCATGTCCTTTTTTCATTCCAGGGTGTGTTTCTGTTCATCTTTCACGTTTTGCTGAATGATGAGGTACGTAAACAAGCACTGATTGATGTTTTGTAATGAACATTATGCTTGCTACATCGAGAAGATGAACAAGTTTTAAATTGGAAACAGGGTGCAAATTTCCACAATAAAATCAAGGGGGACTGAAGCAAAAACGGAAATTCCAACAGCAGAATCTCTCCAGAAAAAAAATGCTATGTATACCCATTGTAAAGAGTAGACAATGTGGCTGTACATACCCTGTTAGATAGATTGGAGAATATGAGAGGTCAGTTGCAATGCAGAGTAGATCAAGTAAAGGCTCTTTCTTTCACATTAAAGAGAATTGTTGTCAAAAACAGGAAAACAAGAAATGACTTAAGCTAAATCCAAACATATTGGATTTGAATAGCCACAAAATGTATGAGCATGACATAATTATGTGTACATCTCAGCTGCATTTTATTGATACAGTCATTATGTTGTATGGTATCAAACGAAAGCTTCACAGAACCAGCAGTTGAAAAGAATTTCTGGTGAAAAGATTTCCAGGAAAATATCCCCCATGGAAGTCCATACCTACTGCCCCTGACTACCCCTACCCCCACTTGAAATTCTGAAATGTACTCAACTTTTTTATATGCCCGAGTTCTTTCAGTGCTCCTTGAGAGAGCATGTGCACCCCCCTGTCAGGTGCCCCCCTCAAACCTTTCATCCTACTATGCCAGTGATTGTGAGCTATTACAGCAGATGATCTTCAAAATATTTTAAGGATTCTCACATAATCTGTTGGTGCATAATTAACTTTGTGCCTTGTTTAACTCATGAAGGTTGACCAAAAGATTAGTCTGCCTGTTGGAATCTTCTGATTTGAGTAAATCCAGTTTAAGTGAATATGATGCCTGATTTTTTTTTTTGCACAGGTCAAGGGAGCAATGCGCCGACGCTTTGGCAAAGTGGGAGCTTCAGGAGATGAGAACATGCTCTTCAACAAGATCTGGGTGAGTGAGAGCAGACATGATCCTAACTCAGTAGCAAACCTCTTGGAAAAAAATGCCAACATATGAAAAAAAATCGACAGGAATTGTTCATTGCTAAAACTCAGTTCCGTTTTCTGTTTCCTATTCAAATCAGTAATAAATGTATTAAGTATTCGTATTGCAATATTAGTAACACATTATCTTATGTTTATGACATAAAACAGCAACTGTAAATTGCACTTTTACTTGAACATACCTCAAACACCATACTAAAAGCTGTTCCACAACATTTTACCTCCCCCCAAAAAAGGAGGGTAATGTGGTCCCCAATAGTTACCATCAGGACCCTTAACCTAATCCTGTCATTGAGGTGCTAGTTTGTGGATATTTTGGGATTCCTGGCCCTTCTTGAGCCAGAGGAACTATATAGAACATCCAAGGAGATTCCTATTCAGTGGTGCTACACTCGCGCATATGCTTAAACTTGAAATGCAAGTGCATTTTGGTAAGTAAATATCCTGCTGGTAGGGGAGATATTCATTAGCCAGTATATATGCACCATTGTCAAGTGTAGCGCCACCTCAGTAACAATTTCTAATTCTGGTTACCAGTTAACCAGTTCAATTCATACACCCCAAAAGCAGTGGCGTACCAGCTTTTTTTAGGGGGGGGGGAATTAAAAAATGAATTTGGCTTTGGGGTTAGTCAACATGATGTTTGGGAAGAGAAAGTGTTCTAAGGGTTTTAATTTGATGCTAATATTTCATAAATATGAATATACTGATTACTTTCTTTCCCACTCACCCATGAAGTATCATCATCTCCCCCTCCCCCCCGGAAACGCCAATGCCCCAAAGACATGGCCAGTGTATGTATCTCTTTCAAAGTTGCCCAGCAATGAGGTAAATCTGTGCTGGGAACTTAGGGGATGAGGAGATGACTTTCTTGAATAAAAAAAATAAATAAATTGCCCAGCCAAGGAAATTTGACTAAGGACTGTGTGCGGAACACAGCATGACACTGGAGCTAGTGGTCATATTACTGATGTAAATCTTACACCCCTAAACCTTACGTCCAAATGGCCTGTTTAAAGCTTTCGGACTCTTCTCCCTTTTTCAGTATTGCTGAATACATTCTGAATGTTAGGAAGTTCAAAATGTACCCCCAAATGCACTTTTTTTTCTCACCATGAAAAAAATGGGAGTGATGATCCAATAGCCCCTCCCCTCCCCTCCCCCCATGGGAATCATAACTCGGGTATATTTGTAATAGATTTCAAAGTTGTCCAACTCGGGCAACATGCCTCTAGCAGCTAGGGGATGCCCTAACAGGGGACACACACACCCTTATAAGTGAATGTTCCTGCCGACCGCTATCAGAATTCGGTGTCATCATTTCATGTTTTCATACTTCCAGGCTTTCTCAAGTTCTGCACCGGAGAAGTCCACCGAGATGTCGTCCTTCAGTCAGAATGAAAGTATGTGTCTCGCTCTGTTCATCTACCCTGCTGTACATTTGTTTGTTGCAACTGGTTAACCTAACAACACTGAATGATATCACTGCATTGTAATCTGTTAGACTTTTTCAGATCATCTTTAATCCAGCTGGGGGAGGCAGATTTTTCCCCCTCCCTATATGCAGTACGTATATACTTAAATCTATGTGGATCAAAGATGTTGAGCATTAAATCCAATACTCCCCACAGAATCTTGATTTACCCAGCTCAAAAATAATGGAAACTGCTTCAAAAAACCCACTTAAATAAAAAGTCGGCTGTCAAATGCCCAATCCTGTTGAAACCTGGCATACATATATAGCCATTCATTACAAGTAAAGCCGTGAGGATTCATTTGAATCTGATACATGATTTTGTTTTTACTGCCATTTGAAGTTCATAGCCTCACAGATGTGGGCCAGTGGGAAATTTAAGTATACATTCTTGGCCAACCTGTTGCAGAAAAATTCTCGTTTTGCAAGAATGGCATGCCTAATAGTCACAAACTGAATTTAATTATCACAAGACATTGCTGAATAAACTTCCCAAGGCTGAGTGCAGGGAAGAAATGCACTGTGATGTTATTGGAGAGATATTGTCAAAGGTTTTCCCGTCCTTCCCGGCTCTTGTAGTGTGAACACTGAATTCATGCCTGATTTGGTCAGAAATCAAAATGTTGATTCCAGGTCTTGAGAATACAAGTCAGTGCCATCTTTGATCTGAATTTCAGACCACAGACAAGTGTGAAGAGGTTCTTTGTCAAATATCAGCCAGAATCTTATGTTTAAATATGAATTAAAATAAACTGTCAGAAGCACTAAGCACAGCAAGAGACCCCCATTTTTTTGACTGTGGGCATACCCCCCTCCTTTTTGCAGGCCCTATAATGGGGTGGGGCTTAATATGGATCTGCCTATTAATGCCTAATGGTCTCATAACTACCCCCACTTTGAAAATCTTTTTGCTGCCATTTGTATCTTGGGGTTGAAATTTTGTTGAATTGACATCTTCTGACTCCCAGTTTTCCTTTTTGGCTTTTCTGTTGCAGAGAAGTTTACCAAGCCTGTCTACAAGAACTGAAGCATCACCGAAAATATGCTGACAGTGATGTATATATCACTATGAGAGATCACTAATATTACATAAATGCCATTGGTTGACCGATTGGAAACATTTAAGAGCAGGTGCGTTATCAGAGATACTGAGAATCATGCAAACACATATTTCTTGACATACAACGGCAAAACTTTAATTTTTTTTTTTTACATTTATTTTCGTTTTGCAATGTATATATCAAATTATACACAAGGTCAATAAATGAAAGATATTTGACTACAGGAGTGAAACTTAAATAAGACCATGGGACATTTAAATAAAAGAGGGCAAATACGGGGGCATATTCAGAAGACAAAGTCTTATACAGAAATGCCTTATCAAGACAACAAAAAAGAACCAGACAAGGAAGACTGACAACAAATTATACTTGAAAAAAGACCATTGCAGTACACCACAGTCAAACCAAAACAAGGACAAAACAAAACAAATACGAACCAATAGACTGAGGTGTAACAAAAATCAGAATTACCAAACACTAGAAACGTTAGAAGAACAAAAGGAAAATTAGAATCATAAATATTTATCATAGCAAGGTTTCCTTAAGATATGAATACTATTAAATAGTTTGTGTTATTGAAATATTGCATTGCATCAGTTGTGCTTGCAAGGATATTAAGAGTTCACTGCTATGTTACGCAGTTCGTCAGTCATGGAGAAAGTACACAATAGAGTAGTGTTCACGAAAATATTGTGTAACAAGCTATCATATTGTTCCATCATTAAGAAATGAAAGTTAGCTTCCTTTGAAACAGACCATTTCACATCTGAGGTTAACTGTACAAAATGTTCCATTTTGGTTATTGAATTGAGTGACCTGTTAGACTTAGAAAATCAGGCAAGGATCAATACTGAAATGTAACATTCGGAGAAATCACAGTTCGCTCGACGAATTTTCAAATATATACATGTACTAAGATGTAGACCTAGATAGGAAAGTGATGTGCACAAGTCAAGCCCCAATTGTGGTAATAACTGACAAATGAAAAGTGATAACAAACAATAACAAGTATGTGTAGGCGTACTGCACCATACGTTTGTGATGTTTTATTTCTGCCAGTTTTGTCCCATGCCAAATTTTCCCACCACTGCTCTGCTGTGCACGTAGAGAGCTTGTTCTCTTTGAAATCCAAAAGTCTGAGAGGGGCCAGTGTATATTTGCCATTGTATGCGTTCGAAGAGTGTTTTTGTAGCATTAAGCCCTAGAGATGCCTTTAACGGCTGTTGATATTTGGTGAAAAATGTAAGGTATTGTTTTTGATTTGGACAGCTTTTTGGTGGATTGTGCTGTATGCACGTACTTTAGACATGCTTTGTCATATTTTGCCCACGCATCACCATACAAAATGACCATAAGCATGGGGATTCCTCAGTGCCCTTCTGAAAATATGTATGCTCCCCAGCAACCCTTATGCCCTCAAAAAAATAATTTCGTCATTATTTTTATTGCACAGGTTTAATCGAATTGGCACACTGTTGTGCCTGCTAGTTGCGGTCAAAATCGATAAATATTTCCGAAAATAAATCTCCATTTGAAATCAGTGCTTGTATGCTTACACAGGTGATGTTCTTATATATTGAGAGCATATTCTTGAAAACAATTATTCTAAAAATGGGACATTACATCAATTTTCATTCTGGAAAATTGCCAGAATGTAAATGCTTTATTTTTTAAATTCTTAACTATTATTGTGTATTAGAATGTAATTTCTTTTACAGTGTTAATTTTACTCATATAATTGAGGTGTTTTCTTGTTATTTCTTTTTATCAAAAGTGAGTGTGACATATTCTGTAATGTGAAAAAAATTTGAAAATTACCTGAAACGGGGGTGAATACAATTTTATTCCCAACTTGTGGGTAGAGTTTAAAGTAATTTGTCCACTTCTTTCAGTTTTAAAGCCTCAACAATCCGAGGTTTTTTACATCTTGTATTTATTTAAAATAGGATTGTTTGACATCACCGGATTTTGTTCTTATGCGTATTTTACCAGTAATTGGAAATTTCACCTTTTATTGACATGTAATACTGTACGATTTGCACGGTGTTAATTTACACACGAAACTTCAGTGTTCTGCAAGAGTTTTGCAGTCTGGAAAATCTAAACGCATAGCATAATGATAAATGATAAATTTTATCATTATGCTATAATGATAAATGATAAATTTTATCATTATGCTAAAACGTTAAGCATTTATCGTTATTATTGTTATTATAGCATACGTACCAACGCTTGACAGTTAAACTACGGAAATTAACGCAACTGATTTAAATTCATAAAAACATTTGAAAACCACACCTCTGCTGAATCTTTTGTGAAAAATGACTGAAAATTTCAGTTTTTATAATTGTAACTGGTGTAATGATTATTGAACATGGTATTTGTGTGGAATAGCAATATTATGACATGTGTACATGTATTTGTATTACAGCCTTTTTGGTTTGCATTTACAAGCAATATATATTCACTTGCACTCTTCTTGATAGACGCTTTGAGACCCCTCGCAGAACACTACATTGCAAACGTACCGGTATACTCGTGTAATAGATTATTACAATTTTCACGATATTTTGTCTGTATCGTATTGTGGATGTAAAAAAAACATCGAATTAAATTATAGTATGTAATTGTTATGTAGGTTGTGTACGAAAGTGTGTGTACAATATAGTGATCGGGATTGTACCTTTTGGAAGGCGTTCAGCGTTGCCGCGCTGATGCAAATATTTAACTTTGCTTTGCATGAACTAAATGTTCCATTTATTCAAAGTTATTGTAAATAGTTTTTCAACTATAGTTCTACAAAAGTGCCTTATCACGTGATTGATATTTTATGCACGGTTCAAAACAAACTGAACAGTATTATAAATACAAACTTACTGCTGATCGATTTCGGATAAATTGTGCGGTATCTTTCTGTCTCGACAGATCTTGGACATAAATGATGTCTTAACCCTAACAGTCCTCAATCCTCCAACAGGTGAAGGATTGAGGACTGATAGGGTTAATGAAACTGTAGGTAGGCTATGTGCTAAGCGATGCCAATGTTGAGCACATCTGGAAAGTTTTAGCTAAGTTGGATAAAGCGTTTGGAAGGTGCAGGCGGAAGCAAAACTGCGGCAAGTACAAAACTGAAGACTTTTCACCAACTGGAGTTTTAGAAGTCGACATAATTATGGGTGAGAACGGCAGATCGGACATTTTAATTTGAAATATTGTGCCAAAACATGGATGAGGAATCGCTCTGCAGTTTGTAAAAATGCTGATCAAGACATTCAAATAAAATTATACATACATAAACGGAATGAAAAATAGATAATGCAGGTGGATTCTACCCCTAACATTTCAGGGTATAAGATTTTGATCACTTGTTCGACTTAAGTCAGAAGGTGTTTCAGCGGGTGCAGCAGCCCTCAGCTTTTATTTCCGACCTTGCCCCATGCCAAACAATCCAAATATTAGTATACTTGAGCTGTATTATGACAATGAAGAGTGGAGAGGTCTTCGATTATCGATTAGATTCGTTGGCAGTTTTGTGTACTTACAATATTGCACCAAGAATGTTCAAGTCATTCGCCGCCAATAAACGCATCGTCTTAAATATGCCAAGCTTTTAGTGTTTTCTCCAGTCTATGTGTAGCATAGAGTACCTTGTATTTTATAGTAACTTTTCGGTCAAAAACGTGGTTCCTTGTCTTAGCCATCCCTAACCAATCTACTCTTAATCTAAGACCAATAACTTGTCTTTGACCAACGACTACCCTTAACCCACAGAGAGAGCCATGTTTGGCCTCTCTCGCAGCTGGGTGGGAGCAAACTGAACCCCCTCACCACCAAGAACTCAACTGTATCACGGTCGAATTTGTTAAACTTGGCATGCATATAAAGACACTCATCATTAAACATGTGAAGTTTGAACCCAGACGCGTGGTTTTGTTGTCACTGTCATTGGAAGGTCAAGGCTACACTCGTATTCTGGGCTGACCCGTCTCAGAGAAATGCGCACTGCGCGAGAACGGTATGTTCGAATTTCACAATATTGGTGTTAAAATAACAGCAAAGAGTTACTCTAAAACTCGTAAAGGCTCAGCTCCTGAAAAAATTGCACTGTGGCGATATTGGAATAAATGTCGATGGGGGAGGGGGTGGAATTCGCCCCCTGCTCTTTTAGGGTTAAATAATAGTAATACGTTGCGATCAATGGTTTGTTGTTAGGTCTGGGGGAACTAGATGTAACATTTTACTCTTTGAGATTTTTGGTTTTCTACTTTTAACAGCCACTCACTGATTACTTGTAATTTTAGCCAGAATGTCGTATCAACTACAAAATAAATCTTATCGTTTCAGGGGTGAATATTTCATTTGGAAAGCACGCTGGGCCACCTGCTTGGGCGGCGCGATATTGCCCTAATGTCGCAAGGATGTGGGCAATGGGGCACTTCCCCAGAAAAAAAACGGGGAGAGAAAACAGAAGGGAAATGAAGGAACCAAAACAAAGGGATGGAAATCACAAACCCCTTGGGACTGACTCCCGTCCACCTTTAATTGTGAGTTTGCTGCTGAATTCTTTCCCACCCACCCCTCCCCGAAAGAGCTGTGCCCCCATTCTGTCAACGCTCATGCGGAGGCTATGCGTACATGTTTTGCGCGAAAACGCCCATGCCTATAATAGTCGTGTAATATTGGATATCAGTGTCATTGTTTGTCCACGTAATGGGGGGGTGGGGGTCTTTTCTTGGTCAAAATGTGCAGGGTTTAACCCTAAAAGGGCCATGGGGTGCAATTCGCCCCAAGGCAGTTTCTCTGATATCGTAGCAGTGCATTGTCTTTTCGCCCCGAGCCATCAAGAGTTTTCTCGTTATTGCCTTACAATCATTATTTCTGTATGCAATTTTATGAATGTCGCACAGAGCGTTTTCGAAAACGCCCATTCAGCCGAAAGAATGTTTACTTCGAATAATTTACGTGTTCAGCGAGCGAGGGATTACATGCGCGAGGCCATGGACTATAAAGTACCAGCCCAAAACCCAGTGTCAGATAAAATCAGAACTTTATATATGTCAGTCAGAAATGAAACCAAATAAATAAATAAAAAGACGCCCCAGGAAGAAATTTATACAATGAATTTGGGGTGGGATCTCGTTTTCTGAAAGCAACACTCAATAGATTTAGTCATACTAAAAACTCATATCAGAGGCGTGTCCCGCCTGGCCTTCCACTTAGTTGAACCACCACATCGGGTAAATTACTGCCAAATGAACGATTATGGTTGCCTTGAAAAGTGTACACAAAGAAAAACTAAGTTTAGGTATGATGACGTTTGACAAAAGTTGAGTGTAATGTAATTCCAACCACAAAGAACGGGGTATTTCCATACCCCTTTTGTTTCCTGTCCCCGCCCTTCTCCCTGTCTCTGCTTCTTACCGCCCTCAACATTTACAGGCTGTTAGCGCACTATATTTTGATATAATCAAATTTGAAAAGTCAAGATAGGACCCTAGACCAGTAAACAAGGCCCTAGGTATATTCAGGAGCGCACGGACTTTTTTCGAAGATAAGCTTATAACGAGGCAACTTCCCCCCCCCCCAAAAAAAAACCAACAACGAGGGAAAGGTGAGTTTCCTGCGAGTAGCAACCTGGGGAGTTGGCCAGCTGTGATCCTGAACCATGGCTCGAGAATTGGAAAATAATGTAAACGTTCGTGTACGAGAAGTTGTTGACAACCTCCTTCCAAACTTTGCCCTATATAACAGATCGGTTTTCGTCCTATATAATTCTTTTGTCCTTTATACACTCGTTTCGTTTAAGCTTTATTTCAATTTCTTCCGATAAATATTGGTTTTGTCGTATTTATAGTATTTTCGTTTGATTGTTTTTGTACTATTCAAGTCATAAAGGGCGCCTCATATACCTGCACCTAGGTGCAAAGAATGAATACAACGCAGCCGAATCGTGGTCCCAATTTGCGATGAAAGGGAAGTTATTTAACCGTGAAAAGAGAATGAGGAACATTTTTGTCCCGATGGTTTACAGAAATTGCCCAAAAGATTATGTTCGCTCGGTTTATACGAGTTGCCTGGAAATATCCCCGCCTATACTGGCTCGTGTGACATGGCCCCCATCATTCAAACTGTGTGTCATGATGTGTTGTTTGCCGTGTTCGGCTTTTATGCATGATGTGCGGTAATGATAATGGCCGATACGTTCCACACGGTGGAAAAGTACGATTTTGCTCAGTGTACATTTCCACTTTAGTACGCATCTAAACTAAAATACTGGCGGAGGGTCTATGAATTTCCGATTTGTGTTTGGAACTACATTTTTTATTCTTGAAAGTGACAAGAAGGTGAATCTTGGATTGATAGAGGTGAAGCTTACCAAAGGATATACCCAACTCTGCTTTGGTAGGCATAGGTGAGAAAAGATCAGAAAAAAAACGGTGACAGAGCAAGTATTTTTATTATCATTGTTTTAGGAATCGAAGACCACAAAATGGCGGATGTAAAGCATCCGGCCTGCTCTCCTGACCAACTTGTTGCATGCTCCTGAAAATGCTGTCACGCATGGCCTCGTCGAGGGAGGGGAAAGCAGTAATTGCTGCAGAGTCAATATCTCCATGGTTACCGCTAGACCTCAGCAGGTTGCCCGGGTAACGTAGCACGCGTCTCCAGAGCAACGGTCTACTCGTCTGCAGATTTTTTTTTTCAGTGCTGAGCGAGAATGTAAAAATTGTTTTCACATTATTATTAAACAAAAGCGTGCGAGGACCAGACTTGGCTATAGTTTGCCTGTGTCAAAAGTTTGTTGTTTTAATCAGCCCATTTTATGGTCAGGTACCCGTTAAAGATAAGTTCGATTCTAGAGATGATAAGAGCCAATAAAGATTCAACCTGAATACTTTCACTGTTGACAAGTAAACAACTCAGTGAATAGATGGCTTCAATTTTTATTTGATGGAAGCAACTTGCCAATAAATTGCATTTGCTTATGACCTAATTTGTTAAATTGGGAGTCTCAGAAAAAAAGAAGATATCAATGATGTGCATCCTATCTCTGGGACTTCCACAGCCAGAAATCGTGGCACTCGTCAGCTGTATTTGCAGATAACTGTGTAGAGTAACTATATCCCTTATATTTCTTTATTCCCATGAACTTCAACATGAAATTAAAGATAGGTCTATATGCCTTGAAAGGGGGGCTTTTGACTCTGGCGATCATAATAAAAGAAGGCAATAGATTCACGATTCGACTGACTGACATTGACAATCATTAGAGAAATTCGTCCACCATACGGGCTGCACTGTGCTAAAAGTAATGCACCGTCCTTCGATGTGCCTTTTTTTTTACAGAATCGCGGACTCTGTCTTCATCCATTTTGTTTTAAGAACAGCAAGTCAAATGACTTCCGAAAAGTAGACCAAATAGTTTTAGTAGACCCCAGCAGAAATCGTGATGTGCTCTTCAACACGTGTACAACAGTACTTGTTTTGAGCGTTATCCAGTAAAAATGCATTATTAATTAGAGTGGATTACCATGTTCGCGCCCGCTGCGTCATCAATATAATTTCACAAGGTAAAATATAAAGAAACCGTTATCCATCAGCTGCATCGTTTCACGCTAATGTATCTCTCCATTACACTGATGGCCCTTACATCATGTGCTACATGTACATCGCGTTCTGATATCCATTGGCCTATTTCCACACTCTTCTGCTTAAAAACCATGCGTTACTTTCCCTGTCCCTGTCGGCACCATCAAGTGAAGATGTTCACTTCAGATGAATCCGCTGACCATGGCAACGTTATCAATTAACATTAATGCAGTGGCTCCAAGCCATGGCGGTGAGCTTGGAAACAACTGTTATTCTGTAACACGACAAAATGCTTTTCGCCATTAAAGGGGGCCACCTGAAATGTCCAGTGAAACGCTGCTGGATTCAATTATATACGTTGCAATGTTCATTATCTGTAAATACTTGTCCAAGCCGAGTTGTTCCCCCCCCCTTTTTTTCTGTTTCCACGCTGAGGTGCAGGGGGGCATTGGGGCATGACCCCCCTCGCTCGAGCCCTGTGGGCCCCCCGGAAGATAGAGGAAGGAGATAAAAAAAATGGCGATAGACCGTCTTGTTCTGATTGTTACAGTGTTTCAACTTTGACCGAAACCATTGAGTTCCCCCTCCCCAAAGAAATGAAGGCCCCCAAAGTCCAACCCTGCGAAGTGTATCCCAGTTACACCACTGTTTTACCCCTCTTGTCCCTTCTTTTATTTGTCTAGGGGGTGGTTCCCTCCCTCGTCGCTATACGAATGAGTACGACCATTTTGTGACCTCTTTTCAAACTGGAAAAATATTACATGAACGACCGAATTATTAACAAAGGTAAATTGTTCAGGAATTGGCTTCATTTTTAGTCTATTTAAGTACACTGCAGAAGTCATTAAATTTACGCTACACGCCCCCTCTCCGTTGAATAATAATTTCAGGCGCCCCCATGGAGACAACCGCCAGGCGCAACGGCGCACCTCTACATACAGCGCTTGCCTTGATAGACAACAGACGTACTCGAGGAGCACTCACTGTAACACAGAACAGAAACATTTATTGCTCGAAACAGCGGCTTTTTAAAGCCTCAAAGTCCTTCGGGCAGCTTCGGTTTGATCCACTTTGGATGGAGAGAATCTCTCAGGTAACCGGTATCATGTGGTTGTGGATTGTGTTCCTGACGCTTCCGTTCTTAACGGTGAGTTTAACCGCTTCATTTAATTTCTAAATTCTGCGAAAAGCTGTATCAGCTCTGTCTCGTAATCGATTTCTCAATTTTTCTCAAATTCCATGCGCTGTTTGTTCTTTACTCCAGACGAAATTCTTCTAAGCCATAGGCCCCCAGTGCGGATGTATCTTTAAATTATTGTAGGCCTTATATATTCTGGACCTTGGGTTTTATATCGGACCTCTGGCAAAGGTAGTTTTAGCCTCATAACTCTGGGATTACTGAGTACGAGGCCATTCTCAGAACGCAAAACGAAACTAATACAATTCTTGCTAAACACAAGGCCACCAATTCTTGCTAGAAATTTCAGGTAAAGCTGAAACGAAATTAACAGAAACAGTCCTTGTTTTAAACTTATGTGATCTTAAGAATTAAGACTGGATGTTGATGTTTATGTTATATTGACCCAGTACTTGTCGATGCAAGTGTATTGATCCTTGTAGAAAAGCTTGATATTAAAATAGATTACCGGCATTGATACTTGTGAACTCACCATCAGTATATCAGTATTATTTTAATATTACATCCAAAATGTAATATTTCGGATATTTAGCGTTGCAGCCGAGCTGTGTTTAAAATGCTTTTTTAGTTTGGAAAAAAATGGTAGCTCTGTTTTGGATCTACGAAATTCTAATTGGAATCGCTGGTGAATTTCCTTGAAAGCAATCTATTGGTGCAAGATGTGTGGATGGCGCAGGGTGAATTTGAATGTTGTAAAATAATGGAATGTAAGGCAAATCAACAATAGACTTTTTTATTATAAAGACAAACAAACCGGATTTTATTGCGCTTCATTCTTTATACCACGACGGAATACCGACAAAACCCTGGCCGGGGGGGGGTGCATGCAGGGTCGTAGAATGCAACAGTCTGCAGAATTGAAGAACGAAATCAGGACACTGGTATAGAGGCAAATTCGGGTAAAATTCATAATCAAATTGGCGAGAGGGGTGATAAGAAACGTTTGAGTTTAAAACATTTCAAAATCGATTATGTCAGTGCATGGAAGTAGAAACAGTTGAAGATTACCTTGGTAGAAAGATTATTTTCTAATGTAACTTGGACGACCGGTGAATTTGCAACGGCAAGCCTTCTTTGCGCCTGGCTGCTGAAGTGACTGTAAGCCGTTTCCTTCATTTCACTGAAGGTTGCGTTGCTATCGTGGCCATCAATCAGCGGAAAGTGGTTGGGAATTACTTGATGACCCCAAGGTAGCCTCTATTAACGTTTGGAGTGTGTTTCTACATAGCTTGGGTGATTTTAGTTCCAACTCAGTTATACTGAGTTTTACCAGCAAGCGCGTGACAATGAAAATCAAATCGAGTATCAAATAATTTTGTCCTCAATTTAAATTATCATTGTTTTGCATGTTTCATAGTTCCGTGAAACGCGCTAAAGATTACTTCGCGCCGTGCTACCGTTCTGACAACCATTTACAGTCGATGAGCAAAGCTACTTATGGTAAAATAATGCTGTGGTTGTGAGTGATACTTAAGAAAACCCCGTTTCTTCACCACAAGACATGTCCCATCATTCCGTTCTATTTAGTGCACTCAACACCCAATTCGTGTTACCAAGACTGTCCCACAACGAATGACGAAAACTTGTGATTTTCGTTTGGCAGCTTTTGTGCGAGGAGATATCCATCGCTTTGAAACAGAAAAATCAGTGAAATTCTCCAAATGAAAGCGCGTAGACACATTCATTGTAATGACCAGGCAGTGAAAAGCGCTCAGATCTCAGATGCATTTTAACAGGACAATGCAAGTTTCAACTCTAGCGGTGAAACATTTTACTTCTCATTAAGATTTTAATGATTACTGCACTCGCTTATTTATTATTATTATTAAAAAATATTAGATTGTTTAATGATTACTGCAGTTGCAAGTCGATAGCTTGAATCTTTATCGCCAAACTGCTGTTTCGGGTACAAAGGCTTTATGATAGCGATATATCAGTTGTTTAAAATACACTTTCAGCCTACTGGATATGGGGCTTACTGTCAATGCCTAAATTCAATTCATCGTTTTTACGGAGTGTCCTGCAACCATCAAATAAGTAAGGATGTAAACGTTAATGATGTTGACCTATCGTTCCGCTACAGGGACTCCTAAAAATCGTAATGCAAATGAATCGCAGGGGCAAGCTTCAATGTAGGACTCTTAAATTGTGGGATCTCGACCCACCAAGCCTCCTCTCTACCCACCTAAGATCATGTATAACCCCAAAAAGATCTATGCAAAGGAGGAAAAAAGACGGGCAAAAGGCTTGTCGGCCGAGTCGAGAAATGTCTCGAACATGTACTTTTTAAACAGTCCCAGCCCACAGTTTACCTCGGCAGACTTGTAAGGGACGTTTTGGATTTCAAAGAGGAGTTGAATAGACTTTTTACTTAGACGTGCATGGCTTAATTTCTGAGTTAAGCATGACTACAGGCAGGATCCACCAAGTAGCCACCTCAGGCCCGTGGGATATGCTTGGTGTCGGCGGAGTCGAAGTAGTAATATCTCTTGACAAGCAGTATTCTAAGAGGTATAAGAACCGTCGTCAAAATATCCGATTATCTCTTGAAGAAAACCTCAACTCAGAAGTCAACATTCCTTCGTATTTTGACTATAAAAGTGTCTCGCATATGTTTTTCCTCGCTGAATATTATGGAATCATCCAACCTGTTCACTACCAGTTTCCCCAAAACACCACTGAAACAAGAGGAGAAAAAGCTAAACCGAGAACTGTTTATACAGTAAATGTGACAGAGTTGTAACTAATTTTTGCGACTCGAGTCGAGTCATAGGCAAAAAAGCTGAGTCGAGTCAAGTATTTTGCTCTTGAGTTCATTCGAGTCACAAACATTTGAACACAATACGATAAATAAAAACAGAAAGTCATTTTCCGCCTTTTTAAATTTACCTCTGGTTAAGTGTGTTGTAACACCACATCCTACTAGACTTGACAACAATAACACATGACATGAACATTACAAACCAACGCTGTTTTAGTTCGCAAAGAGTTTGCTTATGGGGGCTCTCTCTTGTTAAATTTCACTCGAGTAAGGTCTTCTGATGAAGAACTCGAGTCGAGTGGAGTTGAGTCATTTAATCGCAGTAAACTCAAGTCGAGTCGAGTCACCAAAGATTGTGACTCGAGTAGGACAAGAGTCTAGTTATTGACTCAAGTCATACCACCTCTGGAGTGCGAAAGCCAAGGAGATCACAAGATCGGCAACCAGCTTGAAATCTGTACTAGCTTGGGTCATTGCGAGTCACAACACTCCTTGCTTCGATTCACAACCAAGACCATTGTCACCACATGGGGTGGTCGAAACAGTGACATAATGACTGAGAGTCTGTCATACAACCAAGTAGGCCTATGTAGGCCTAGGTAGCGCTTGAAGGTTTGCATGGCGGATCGACAATTAGTTAAGGATTTTTTTTTGCGGTTACACCATGTACAATATTCTCTTTTATGAGTATGTGTGGTTCTGAGAAGAACCGGGCCTATGTACGAGTTTAGTTGGTATACGTAAGTGCCCCGCGTCTTCCATTCAGTGGAATTTTGCATTTCGAACAAGGTGTGACTTACAAGTTGACAGAGACTGAACACCATTTGTAATTAGAATTGGTCACGTGGAGAACTATTCTATTTTGCTCCAAAATATACACTGAAATGCGCAACTGCAAGTGATAGATGGCTTTGTTTCATTACAGCGCCTCCAGAAGAATTACGCTGCATCCGAATCTATTGTCTAGAGCTAGGTCTAGGTTTTCTCTCCATTGGAAAAGCGTGGAGACGTGCAGACAATAGACCTAGCCGTAGCTCTGGAATCCCGTTTCGGACACGGCCGTAATCTCATTGGAGGTATAACCCCCTGGGGTGTATGTAAAATCATATTGAAATCGGAGGATTTGAGAATGTTTGGGTTAAATTAAGTAAGGTTTGTGAAGGTGTATTTTAACTTAATATTTAAGAATTTGAAAAACTGTAAGACAGGGTCTGATGTGTATAATAAACGCATGCTATACAGTGCCACCTTTATGAAGAATTTACATCATGACACCATTATCTGTTTACAGGTGTAGTTCCTGTAACAATAATGATGAAGCAGTTTAACGACTGGGGAGTTTGTGTTGGAGAAAAGTATGGTAATGTGCCGAGTGTCCAGTATACAAGGGTGGATCTAGAACGAACTTTTTTGAGGGGGTAAGGATTTTTCCTTTTAGCTGGGGACAAATATTGGATAAATGAAATGGACCAAAACCCACCTTCCTGTCTTTATTTCCCGCTCCCCATTTTCTCTCCTTTCAGGTGAGCCACGACCCTCGATGCCCCCCCCCCCGATCCATCAGTGCTCACACTTTAATTTTTGAAGTCCTTTCAGCATTTTGCCCGTGTTATATATTTATTTCCAAAATTCCACATTTTGGGACACAAACAGACGAGACCAACAGAATAGAAGGTCGGAAATTAAGCGTTATGTGTATGGTTCGCTGTCTTGTACATGTATAGGCCTAGATACCACCACGGATTACCTGTTTTCCTGAAGTAATTCAGAAGTGATCGTCATCCTCAAAAGGACATCTTGCACAGGAATAATGGATGAATAACTCCTACTGCTGCTGCGAGCTTGATTATTTTAGGCGACGAAAACTTTTAAGGGAATATAACTACTCCTTCGACATTCTCACTGTATCTGTGGCATTGGATAAAATAAGCTTTGCATTGGATTCATTTACCTACCGGCATATGAACCAGTTAAATCTAAAGTACATGTACACCTGTTCTTTAAAAATTTTCAGTACTTTTCCATCAAGACACTGCCGCATTCCTAGTATACGAGCAGCCTAAAGCTGATGAGAAAAACAGGCCATCAAATGTCTCTTTAAAAGAGCACCAGTCACTGTAGGCTGTAAAATAAACGCGATCTTTATTAGAGTCAGAATTGACATTCACGATCGTGGTTCTAGAGAAAA